CTGAAGGACATGCCCAGTGTAGGATTAGTAAGTGCAGAAGGTAAAGGTTGCCATCTGTGAGAATCTGGATCCAGAGATGTCAGATCTTAGGATTGTATTTCATGAGAAGTGAGAAATATGGATTTTTATGAGAAATTTTCCAAGTAAAAAAAAAAAAAACTAGGTCCAAAAACACACCTACCATGCAGGTTCAGCTTACAGACTGTCTGTGTGAGCCTCTCCTCTAGTCTGTCTTCTTCATGTCTTCATCTGCATTGTTGGTAATTTTGGAACTGTCTCACGTACATTAAAACAAACTGGAACGTAATCACACTGTGAGGTTCAATGGCTTACCATAAACTGCTATGGCTAAAATGGTAATGTATCAATGGAAAACTACTTTTCTTACTATGTCATTGTTCTTTTCAGGGTGGCCGTAAAGTTGAATTCCCTACCGATCCAAAGGTAAAAATATGTATTAAATATGTAAACACACACATATTTACTTAAAATGTTACTCTCTATGAAGTAATGCCTGAGTGACTTCACATGTAGACCTCTATCAAACATAAATGCAGCCAAAGGAAGTTGCCCTGACTTACACGTGCCAGCCTGTAGGCTGGAAGATGAAACTAATGGCACTAGTTAGCACTAACAGTATGTTTAGCCCTGCCTCAAAGGGTTCGTTGTATTAAGTTTATAATTTGTGGTCGTATTTACTAACTGCAGGGCCTGTTGCTGCTTGCCAGTTAGCCAGGAAAAAACTTTTCAAGACAAGCTCTCCCTACTCCCAGATGCTCTTTCTGCCATTCCTGTTTCCCACATCTATGCCACTTACTTGGATGCTGTGCTTTATTTTTCATTTTTAAAGCAACTTTAGAATCCTCTGGTTCCTTAGTTTGGCCAAAGCAAAATTCTAAATATCAGTTCTAGACATTGAATAAAAACCAACTATTTAAAAAGTGTGTTTTGAACCTTGGCTTTGGGCTATACCACATCAGGATTTTTTTTTTTTTTTTTACTATATTATCAGATGCTATTATTTAGTTAATTTCTAAAACTATGATTAGAAAATTTTAATTTATGTTCCAGGACTTAGTGATATGAAATGACTAATGTTTTGATATTTAACTTCTTAAAAATTACTCATTTTTATTATAGGTAGTTATTTATGAAAAGCCTTTCTTTGAAGGAAAATGTATGGAACTAGAAGCAGATGTGTGCAGTTTTATCACAGAAGGAGGTGAAACAGAAGACACAGCTGGAGACGATCGTTTGCCATTTACGTCAGTGGGGTCTATGAAAGTTCTGAGAGGCATGTAAGTAGATGGGTTACCTGTAAGGATTTCTTTTTTCCTTAATAAAGTAATAAATGTGCCCATTTTCCCCCCAAAGACAACATTCCTGATTCTATGGCATGGTGAATTTCAACAGCTATATCCAAGTTCTCCTGACTAGATTTGAGAAAACACTTTGAGGGACAAGTGTGGGGTCAGTCCACCAACCAAGGCTGATAAATTGGCCCATCCAGATTGATCAAATCTACAATCTTGTTTGTTAGAATTATGCTCTAACTATTCAACTGTTAGTTTGCTTTCTCATTTTTATGACACTTTTGCATTTTATAAATCTTACATATTTCCCATAGAGGTACACACTGAAATTAGTCTTGTAAATAGCCAGATATTCATAATATTATAATTACAATTTGAAGAACACTTACTCAGTTTTACTTGCTAAGGTTCTTTTGAGTCAGTTCTTATTAAACATACACATAACTCACACACTCCTGTACTTTCCTTTACAGAACGCTATACATTTTTCAGGTTGTTTTCTTGGGGCCATTCTGTTATTCTCCTAAATTTTAGAGAATTCCAATGATGTTAATGCAGAAGTTGATGTCTAGCTTTATGACTGTTTGTATTTGTCAATGAAATTGATTTGTACCTCGGAAAGATTTTAACGTGTCTGAAAATTACTACTATCATGTTCTTTCTGTTGTAGCTGGGTTGCGTATGAGAAGCCTGGATTTACTGGTCATCAGTATTTGCTAGAAGAAGGAGAATACAGGGACTGGAAAGACTGGGGAGGTTACAATGGAGAACTTCAGTCTTTACGACCTATATTAGGTGTAAGTTAAAGAAAAGCCAATGGCTAAAACTTGGCCTTTTGGGATAATAAATGGGCAGCCTTTGAATTTTGAATTTTTTTTCTCACTAGGATTTTTCAAATGCTCACATGATAATGTACAGTGAAAAAAACTTTGGATCCAAAGGTTCCAGTATTGATGTATTGGGGATTGTTGCTAATTTAAAGGAGACTGGATATGGAGTGAAGACACAGTCTATTAATGTACTGAGTGGAGTGTAAGTGAAATAACCCGACTGGGATTTTAAACATGGGTTTTACCTTGGTTTGTGTTAAACTGAGTCTGTGACATGGAGCAGGCACTCACTAAATAAATATCTCAACAGCTAAACATTAAATCAGTCACTTAATGGTTATTGCCATGATACTTTCATAACTGCTTTAAAAAATCTTTCTCAATCTTTTTTTTACATGTAATATAATGTTGGAGTAGGCTATTGGTGTCATGATAGAAATCTACAGATCTGCTTCCCTTGTCATTCTGCATGGAAAGATCATGAATTTCTTATGAGGGGAGTCAAATAATAATAGTTATCTAACATTAGAAATTTGAGGCTGGGAGAAAGTTCCATTTGGTTTTCCTATGGTCCTACACCTGCTCCTGTATATTTTTCCCACTATTATTTTGACATAAGTATAATTGTTTCAATGTACCTGGAGTTAGCAATTTAATGTTTTATTAATGGTGAAGTGAGTTTTTATTGAAAAAAGTTTAGTCAAGATTCTTTGGGATGCAAGTGACTGCAAGCCAAGCCAAATTGGCTCAAGTGATATAAATGGAGCATACTGGCTTACGTAACTGAAAACTCCTGGAGAAGATTTTGCTTCAGGTATGGCTGGATGCAGGGGATTAAACATTGTCATCAGAACTTGGTCTTTATCTCTTGACTGGGCTTTTCTCTATGTTGGCTTCACTTTAGGCATGCCCTTTGCATCTGGTGGCCTGTGGCCACCTCTGGCTTTTGTTCTCCCAACTCATTGCTTGCAGTGGAAAGAACTTCTCTTTCCCTCACAAATGCCAGGTTTGACTTTGATTCCCTAGGCTTGGCTCATGTGCATGTGCCTGAACCAATCACTGTGGCCAGGGACATGACTGTGTCTGGGTTATGTGCGCATCCCTAGAGCTGAAATGTAGGAGCCATCCCATGGGAGCCACTTAGATATGATTGGGATTGGTAGTTCCCCAGGAACATTAGAAAGAGTTAGATCTTTCTGGGGATAGATACCAGATGGGCAAATACAGTAGGTGGCTATTATAGGGTGTTACATAATGTTTCTTATAATCCAGGCTGATATCTATTCTAATTTGTTATAAGTGAGAATATTCTTAAATAGTTATATGAAATAATTTGACACTGGTTCTGTTTGATGTTAAGGTTTTTTTTTTTTTTGATGTTATAGTGATACAGACTATTTGAATCATTCTAGCCTCAGCCCTATTGTATCTCATGAGACCTTTGCAACCCTAGATATTTGAAATGTGTCTACAACGTAATATACTTTTACTGTTAGTCATGTTGTGACATGTCACAAATCACATGTCACTTTTACTGTTAGTCATGTTGTGACAAGTCACAAATTCTTGTGTAGGCTGCTGCAGGTGCTGCCATTGTGGCTGAAATGACACCGGTGATTTTTGGGTCTTCCATTCTTAGCAGGAAGTGCCTTCTATTGGGTCCTATTCTGGAGCCCTAACATTTTAGAATCATAGCTGGCTGTCTACAAAAGCCAGAAGGCATCTGAAATATTGCTGTGGCTCTGTAGTATTTTAGAGTGCCTTTAAAGCTAATTATTTAGAAGGAAAATATAGTGACCAACTCAATTCGGTGAAATAGTTATGCATTTTGATACTCACCCGGTGTGCTGGTTCTGTTAGAGCCTAGTCATCCACCCTAGCAAAGGAAGCAAGAGGATGCTGGGTAGAATTCCCATAGAGCTTTAGGTAGAATGTGCCCTGAGCCAATCTCCTTTCCTTCTTTCCACAGCCCTTGCTTACTTGAAATCAGTTTCTTTTATAAAATGTTGCCTCTATATGTTCCTATTTTTAGTCATTTCTAGTTGTATTTCCTGGCTTAGGCTTTTTCTGGGTGTAGCAGTTGAGTTTTGGTACAAGGAGGAAGTTGAGGGAGGTACACACACACACACACACACATGCGCGCACACCACTTCCTTTTAAGTTCCTTAGATGTGGAAAGGCTTCTGTGTTTACCAGGGCCAGCTGCTTCCTTGTATTTCACTCCATTTGTCATTTGACAAATATTTATTGAGTTCTATTATGTACAAAGCATTATATTACGTCCTCAAAGAAGTTACAGTATTTATGTAAAACATAATTATTGCCAAAAGAGGTAGAGATGAAACACTTTGGGAATTCACAGCGTGAATTTCCAGTGTGGGCACAGGGAGACTAAAGGAGCTAGAGCGGGAGGTAGGCTGAGGTGTGTCAAGATGAGGGAGGAAGACTAGCTATTCATTTTTAATAGTTTCAAAGAAAAATGATTGTATTTTAGTGGCTTTATTTTTACGGCTAAATAAACACTTCAGTTTGGTTCTTTATTTCTTAGTATGGAACTCGATGTCAGAAAAAAAATTTGTGAAATTCTTGTTCTGTGAAAGTATCTCCCGGGAGGCTCACTACTGCATGGGTAATAAATTTTCTGGGTAGTAAACGCATTATTAGCTCCGAAACAGAGAACAGCCTTCAGGAAGGATGCTCAGGAACCCAACAATTGAGGTTTTCAGGAACTGCATTCTGTGTCTTACTGGAATGTCAAAAGAAATTCCCCAAACGGTCCTGCTCGTCAATTTCTAGTTCTGTGCTATACTCTTGGTCAAACAGTGGAAACTGGGCTAATTTTTTTTAACTAAAAGCACAATGAAATATTTCTGAAGTTCAGATAAAAAATAAGAGTGCTGTTTTAAATTCTTGTTCCTTTGGCCTTACACAGAAGGGCAGGTTGGCCCCGCTGCCCTTAAATCGTGAGCAATTATTCCACCAGGCTGGGACCTGCTGGTACTTGCATTTGCTGCTCTCCGCTTCCTTCCTCCACTCTTTATACAGAGAAGTGTTCATTCATGTGTACGGGACCCATGCGAACAAGGACACTGCGGGATTTTCCTAAGTGTCCCAAGTATAGGTTTCAAGTAGACTAGGATCTTAGACACAGCAGAAAATCTCAGATCTGGGTTTTGGGGTTTGTCCCCCACCTCCCCAGTATTCGCGAATGTTTCACCTGGGGCTGCATCTTGGAAGGGAAAACAATACTACTGTCCATGCGAGTAACGTCTCAATAAATTGTTTCCCTGCTTCAGCTTCAGTGAATATTAGATGGGCTTAACTGGGCATTGGATGTTTACCTAAAGGTAGTTTATTTTGGTTTTATAGGGAAATGTAGTACTTATACTTGTTATTAAAAAAAAGAAGAAAAAAGAAAATTGGATAACACTTCTAGGCTTGCTCAGTTGCTGCCTTCTCTCCCTTGTATAATATTTAGTCTCTCCTCACTGCCTTTTTCCCTCCAAACCTTAAAGTCAAACAGAAGGGCCTTTAACCCTCTGTTCTCTAACTTGTTACAGACCCAGAGCCCTGCTGGGAACACTTTTTTGTGATACGATTTACCCTCTTTAATTGTTGCTTTTCTAAAAGTTCTGGTTTTCATAAAGTAGATTTCCTTGCCACGCAGACATCCCTCCCACACGGCAGCGCGCTGCTCCCGCTGTGCCGTTGCTCCCCTTCCCACCGGGACAAGCGAAGGCTGTGTGAGCACAGGCAGCACACGCAGGTCCCCGTGTGCTGTACGGTCTCGCCGGGTGGGCACTGGGACCTTATCCAGCTCCCCTACTTAGAAATGAAAATGCAAACTTTCTCAAAGGTTCAGTGACCTCTCAAACTTATCCGAGAGTTAATGTCATGTCCACAGCTGGACCCAAGTCTCCTAACTGCTCACCGCACAGTGATAAAGAATAGGTTTGTAAAATTGCTAATGAGGTTCTGAACCTGGGGGCCGGGGGCATGGCATTATTTCCTGAAAGAGACTGACTGGTGCTCATAGCAGTTTCTCCGCTCAGATGGCCAGGAGCGAGTGCACAGGTGTTAGCTGTCATAGTGGCTTACCACCGGAGACTTTGTAGTGTTTTCTCCTTGATAGATGTTCATTTCCTAATAGTGACCGTACTCAAGGTTTTGCTTAAATCAGCCCTTTAGACAGTAAAATCATAATCATCTGTTCTCACTAGGGAGTGTGTGGGCTATTCTAGGTATAGTTTACTAATAGAATAGTACATGAAAGGAAACTTTATAGGGCACATGGCAGTTCAGGTCCCAAAGTGAGGAGAGCCCAGGGAGCCTCAGGAAATGTAGATTCAATCATGTTCTGGCCTCTCATTGATTGTCTCACCTTAAACAAGTCATTTCCTATTCAGAACAAACACCAAAAAATAATTTCATGTGATGCTTCTTACCTGCTTATGAACTTTCTGGGGCAGGGATTTTTATCTTTCTCATCTTTGTATTTCTAGGGCTGGTCTAGTTCCTGGCTCATGGCAAATGGTCAATCAACGTTTACTGAATGAATAAATGAATTAGTTTTCCTGTGTCTTTAGGTTTTCCCATCTGTAAAATGGGAACATCAGTATCTCCCTAGAAGGTTAAATGTGATAGATGTGAAAAGAAAGCATTTTGGAAAGTTCTGCTTACTTATACATTATACATAATAGATATTATTTCTTTAAGCTATGAAGGGATCATTACAGCAATGACTTAATTGAGTAGACATTGAGTATCTCTTGAATATAACAGAATTGAAAACTTTTTCCCCTTCAAAGACTTTATCTTTGGATAAAAATAAAATCAATATGTTAGTTTTGCCAGGTGTGGTGGCTCATTCCTGTGATCCCAGCCCTGTGAGTTGGGAGGCTGAGGCAGGAGGATCATTTGAGGCCAGGAGTTTGAGACCAGCCTGAGCAACATAGCAAAAGCCCATCTCTAAAAACTTTTTTTAAAAATTAGCCAGGTGTGATGACACATGCCTGTAGTCTCAGCTACTCAGGAAGCTGAGGCGAGAGGATTGCTTGAGCCTAGGAGTTTGAGGCTGCAGTGAGCTATGATTGTGCCAATGTGCTCTAGCTGCAGCAACAAAGCGAGACTCTGTCTCTTAAAAAAAAAAAAAAAAAAAAGTTTTGATTTTTCCTGAGTAAAGATCACTTAAAAGATAACAAAGGAAAGCATTCCAAAAGAGATTAGTTTTTAGTATTTCTGAGGGTTTGTTCAATTTTGCTTATAAATAGTTGTGTCATGTTGGAAATACTGTTTGAAACAAAATTTTAGTTACTTTGCTGCATTTATTTATTTTAGCATTTCTTCGGTTAACTTTTTTCAGTGTGGTTTGTTGTATAATAGAGACATAGCTTCCTGTTAAGAACTTTCTGCTAGAATATTTTCATCTTGATTAAAAAAAAGAATTCTTGCCTGTTTATTAAAAGAAGTAGGTTCTTCTTGAAAGTCCAATTTGTTTCCTCAGAATAGAATTAGAAAAAATCACAGAGAAGTATCCTCATTGGAGATTTCTCAAGGAATAGGATTTGATAAGCAAGAACACCAAAAAGTTCATGTAATGATACTCTTTAGGAGACCATTTTGATTTGTCATATAGATAAATCCATCCGCTCCTAAAGATTAATAATCAGAAAAGTTAAGATTACTGATTAATAAAACAAATGAAAGTTACTGTATGATACATATTTAATGTGTATGATGGTTTTATTATGTCAAATATGAATTGTAACAAGTTAGTGTTTTTGTTTCTTTAGATGGGTAGCCTATGAAAATCCTGACTTCACAGGAGAACAGTATATACTGGATAAAGGCTTTTATACCACTTTTGAGGACTGGGGAGGCAAAAATTGTAAGATCTCTTCTGTTCAACCCATATGTTTGGTAAGGAGTCATATTTTTACATAAGAATATTTAACTGAATTCTGAATTTCCCTAATGTGTGTTTCTGGTTCATATAATATTTATTGCTACAGAAAATACTCTGATGTCATTTTTAGCACTAATTGCTAACAACCTGGAAGAAAAAGCTTTTCAACTGTCTGCTTTATTCACTTCCTTTTCTCTTCCCTTTAAAAATTTTTAGGATTCTTTCACTGGCCCAAGGAGACGCAATCAGGTAACTTTAAAAATATTCTATTTCTTATAATTAGGGTCCTTCCTTTGAAAAGCTGAACTTATATATTAAATGTCAGACATTTGGAACACTTTGTTAGTTTTACCCCTTTTTATGCCTAAAAACATAATTGTATTTTTAAAATAAGATTTAAGTTTACTTTAATGCTTAATTGATAACACTGGCCCATGTCTCAATATTTCTTGTAAAATGATCTTATTGTGTAAAGCTGAATTTTATATCATTACACTGAATCAGTTTATATTGATACACTAAGATTCATATCCAAAAAATAGCATATAGTTATGATAAATAGTAAAATGAATTCTCATATTTGCTGTGTCTGCATTAGACAAACATTTTATTTGGTCTCCCTCAAGCCTCTCGAATGTGGACTCTTAACATCAACTGAGGTGTTACATTTGTTATTTAGGCTTTTTAATGGAAGTGGTCACACAGCCATTAATTATAGAGGCATAAATACCACTGTAGCCTCTTTCATTGCATGTATGAGATTCTAATAAGACAGTAAGTATCTTCCATTGAGAGGAAAGAAAACATACTATGTATTTCCAAAATGTAGTTTATTGTTAACAGTAGAACTGATTAGCAACTTTTGGCCACAATAAAGCTTTAAATGCCTCATAGCTTGTTAATAGGGTGTTCTATAGAAACTTACCTCCCTTGTTGATTTTCCTCTGATGTCTATGAATTAAATAGTCATATATGGGGTAGCCAACATGTTTCTAATTGATCATTAATGTATGGAGAAGTAGAAAATTAAAGGATTTATAAAATTCATACCAGTTTACGGTAACAAGAGTTAACAGGTCATGTTTGGGTCATCATTTCAAAGGCTGAGTGAGTTAAGGAAAATAATTTTATGTTTTTCTGTTTACTTTTTCAAAGATTCACTTGTTTTCAGAACCACAGTTTCAAGGTTACAGTCAATGTTTTGAAGAAACAACAGGTCAAATTGATGAATCATTTTCTACTAAGTCCTGCAGAGTTTCCGGAGGCAGGTAAGTAAAACAATGGCTTGGCAGAGCTGGGTCACTGGGGTAAAATAGAATTCACACATCAGCAAGTATTTAGTGACACCTGTTGGGTGCTTGGCACTGTATGAAACCACCATCTTAGTCTGAAAGTATGCTTTGTGACATCTGAGTGCTGGATGCCAGACATGGACATCAGGGTGGGTTGGAGGTGAAGATCACCTCGTTGTGTAATAGAATTCATACCAGGTGCTGTGCTCTCTGTGCCTGCTCCATCATCTGTAAAGGGAGAGTTGGACTCTAGGTGATCTTTCCAGGTAGGTAGGGTAGGATGGGCACTCCGCATGACAGGGAGCTGAAGCAAAGTGTGGCTGGAGTGGAGCTGGTGTGTGTGCTGATCAGGGAGCACACTCCTCTCTCTGGCTGGGAGGGCTTTGTACTGGGAAGGAGAGGGAAGCCAGCTTGGACTGGGAGGGTGGGATCGAGCTGTGAAGACTCCCTGATCATGTGAGTTTAGGTGGATGCCACAGGAAACACAAGACAAAGGTAAAGGCAATGGGCTCAAAATGCCATGCTGAAAACAATAGTTTTACAAAAGCTTGCTTCACTAGAGGGGAAACCCTTGGGGCAGTCGGTGCAAGACATGATGAGAAATTAAGTCTGATAATGATAGTAATAGTGCTTTTAATCATGTAGTTCTTTATGGTTGAAATAACGCTATCCTATCATTTAGCATTGCACAGTGCATTCAAATACAGAGATTGACAGTAAAGCTTCACAGTTTCTTAGCATGTACCTCCACCCCATCCCAGTTCCTCTTTATCCCCTACCCTGCTTCATTTATCACTGCCAGACATGTATTTTTTTAAATTGCTCACTTATTGTCTGTCTCAGCTCACTGGAGTCTAAACTTCAAGAGAGCAGAGACTTTGTTTTGTTCTCTACTGTATCCCCAGTAGTGGAAAAGTACCTGACACACAATTGTTGGGTTAAAAAACCCAACAAAACACAAACCTTCCAGAGAAGCATGGTAAATCACCATTGTATCAAAAATGCTGAGGCCCAGAGAGGCTAAGTGACTTGTCTAAGTCACTATAGTATTTTGACTTCTGGCGCAGTGCAGAGGTGTTGTGAATGAGGATGAGGAGGGAGGAGTGAGAGATTTTGGGAGGAAATCAATAGACTTCGGTGGCTTGGTGGCTAGCTAGGTATGAAGGTTGGAGAAAGCTTATTGAAAGAGGACTCAAGAGCTTGAAGCTACAAGGGCTGGGAGAATGGTGGCACCCATGAGAGGAACAAGGAAGGCTGGTAGGTAGGGAAATAAAAACATGGGGATTTTCATGGAGAAAGTTTTATTTCCTAGACACAAAGATAAATGACTTCTTGTGAATATTAATTTGATACAAGATGAAATGCAGTAAATATGTCTAAATATTTTTGAAGAAAAAACTGTTAGCCACAGGCATTGTATCTTGTATCAGGTTGCCTCTAAAAATCGGACTTCTTGAATAGGAATACTCAAATTGCACACTGTGTGGTTTTCCCTACTGTAGCTGGGTTGCATATGATGGAGAAAACTTCTCTGGGAATCAGTACGTATTGGAGGAAGGCCATTACCCTTGTCTCTCCGCAATGGGCTGCCTGCCTGGAGCAACTTTCAAGTCTCTCCGTTTTATAGATGTTGTAAGTATGCCAGTGTGAATACAGTGTTACAGAAATGTATGCTTCACATGGCTGACGGTCAGGGCAAGGTAACCAGCAGGAAGAACTTACCCAGGGCTTAAAATGGGGGCTTTAAATCCATGTGGATGTATGTACATCTAGTTTATTGATTCTAACTGGTATCAGTATTCCACTACCCTGTTTTACTTATTTAATCCTCATGTGTATCCCTACAGACCTGTGTGGGAGTCTCTTGGGGCTATATATTAGGGAGTAGAATTGCTGGATTTCATGTATGAACAGGCAGTTTCACTCAGTGCTGCCAAATCCCACCACTTTAACTCCCACTGGTAGTGCATGCGGGTTCCCGCTTCCCATGTTGTTGCCGTTACTGAGTAGTCTAGTTTTTGTCAATTTGATGGAACGATCAGAAAGTATTGTGTCCTTGTTGGGATAATTTGTATTTCACTATTAGTGATGTTGGTACCTCTTATACTTATTTATCATTTGGGTTTTTTGTTCAGTGAACTGCCTATTTATATCCTTTGCCCAACTTTTTTCAGTTTCCTGTATCTTTTGTTATTGATGTGCAGAAATTCCTGGTAGTTTTTTAGTGTATTATTCTGTTATTTTAGAGATTTGCCTTCAAATGACTTTTCCCAGTTTATCACCTATGTGCTAATTCAGATTATAGTGCCCCCTTTTGGACAGAAATCTTTTAGTTTGATGTAGTCAAAGCAATATTCAATGGAACAAAACTGCAAGATAATGTTCAGATATTAAAGTCTAAGAGTGTCTGTAGTTTTTAAAATTTTTATTAGTAGCTTATCTCTCATAAAAAGTTTTAAACATATGTAGTTGGTGATTTTAGTTTTAAAGGGAGGAAGAACATATGTTAGTTGGCTTTATCTCCTCCCTGCCTGCCTATTTAAATAACTGAAATGCTACTGAGACATGAAAATGTAGCAGTGAAACATGGAATAATGTGGTAAGTACATTAGCTTGTAAGTAATGAAATAAGACTTTTTGATAGTTAACCTTCCTAGAATTCTGAAAGCTACCTACAAGTATATCTTTGACGTTTTCAAATGCCTTCTCTCAACCAGAACTAGAATATACGCTCATCTCACTCTAATGCTTATGGATTATTTTTTGGTTTTAATGATGAGGAAATGAACATTTTACCCACATTAAGACTATATATCTTTGTGACTTAATACTTCAAAATTGTTTAATTGATTTTTAATATTAAACTTGAGTGTTAGGACATTTTTGGCATGCCATCTCAGAGAAAGTGCAAAGTAGTAATACTACAGTTTTTGTCATTTCCTCCTTGCATGTTTTATATAACCTAATTCCTGTGTCTACATTCCCCCTGTACACACTAATCTGTGCTTAATAAGGGATAGATCTTTTCTACACGTCGGGGCACATCCACGTAAGTGAAGCAGTAAGGTGCCACACCCTTGCCACAAAACTTTAAGCAGATAGGGAAAAAATGTAAGCCCCACGGGCTTTTATGCTGTATCATTTATGATCTCAGGAGTATTATCATTAGAGCTTAGTCTAGGGTCATAAAGATCTGTAATTTGAAAAAACAAGCATAAGCTGCCAACTTTTCATTCTTCTCAAAGTCAGTGCTCAAAGTTGTGCTATTGTGCTCTTTAAAATGATTGACAGTTTCAACATAAGGCTTCCGTTTTGTTTTCTTCTCTCCTCCTGACAGTGAGTCCTACAGGAAAACTTGGGAGTGTGAGTACACAGAATCATCGTCTTATTGACAATTACAATAGGAAAAAAAAAAGACATTTGAAAATACACATATGAGGAAGGTTCCTTGCTTAGTCAGTACCACTGTACCACTAGGCCATCCAACACCAGACTGCCACAGCCCTCTGATGCCCCCCATTTATGTCCATGGCTTTCCAGCCCTTCCTTGTCTCAATGAAATGGCTAAGTGGAAGATAAATTTCATTAGAAGACTGTAGATATTCCAGGCATATATCCATTTCTCTATGCCTGGGATAGTCTTTTTTTCTGCTTTATAAACTGTTTACATTTACCTGCCTTTATGTGCAATGGAAAAACTTCCTGCCCCTCCATGCTTTCTCTCTTTAGCTTTGGAGTACTCAAACATCCAGATTTCCTGGGAAAGGGAGTTTATAAATAGGCCAAATCTGGCAGAATTTGTGCTTTGTCTTTGTAATGAGATGATTTTCACATAAATTCAAATTATCAATAAAGACAAATAATAGAACATTATTTTTGCTCCTAAACAGGAATTTTCTGAACCAACAATTATTCTTTTTGAAAGAGAAGACTTCAAAGGAAAAAAGGTTGAACTCAATGCAGAAACGGTTAATCTCCGATCCCTGGGATTCAACACGCAAATACGCTCTCTTCAGGTTATTGGTGGCATGTGAGTTATCTACATTACCTTAAACAAACTGACATATAACCCCTTATTTTTTGTAAGGGTTAATAATTGTACACCTTCAAAGTACACAATTCCCATTGGGCAAAGCCATGTGTAAAGTATCTTTTGTCTCCTTATCCAGATTTTTAGTTTATTTAAGATAAGGATTTGTCTTTAACACCTCTCAGAGTCTTTGGGGGAATGTTTTGCACACCAGTGCTCAGCAAATTTATTGAGTACTCTTTCTTAGCAAGCAAGCAAAAAGAGCTGACTTTTCTATCCCCTTGAAAAAGACCAAGTCCTTTGATTTTGGAGCTAAGAGTTGAGATTTTTCCTTTAGCTTAGGAATGACTAGCAAATGATTAAAAGTCAACTTAGGAAGATTTTTTTCCCCCTCAACTTTGTATAATTTTGAAATTGAATAAGATATCAAAATATGAATGAATAAGTACCATCAATGAAATGTTTTTAAGAAAGTTTTTTTTTTAACAGAAACAGTAAGTGTGGTCCACCTTTGTGCATCAAATGTTGGGGAATGGGGACTTTAGCTAGTTAAAAAGCAATTATGGACTATTAGGGTGGTGATTTTTTTCCAACAGGTTTAATGAATATTTTGTTCTTATGATAAGATGGTTAAAATGGTAACATTTTAGAGTTTCGGGATTAAAAATAGAGAACATTCTTCCTTGACGTAATACATCAGCAAGAGAGGAGGGCTGCTGGGTCGCTTACACGCCAGTCTGCTCGCACCTAGGCTTCCCTGGGTGTGCCGCGCCAGCATCTCTGCGTGGAAGGGGCCTGAATCTCTTATCAGTTTTTTTAGATTTGAGGATGATTACTCTTATTTTAAACAGAAGTGTATTATGATTTTTGTTGTTCAACTAACCCTTATTTAGCATGTACTAAGTACCGTACACTAAGAGCTTTGCAAATATTAACCATTTAAATAACATTTAAAGACCCATTACTACAACTCAGGATGTTTTATGAATAGCTCACGGGAAGGACTGGGGAGTCCTGCTAAAAGACCATTTCTATTTTGTTGCTTTATTGGAGGAGAAAACTTACCTATTTCTCTTCAAGAGTGGTTCTTGTTGGCACAAATACTTATGTACTGAAAATTTGCTATTCATCAAGAAAGGGCTACTTTAAGTGTTCTAGAAAATAAAGTTGTTTCATTTTTTCCCCCCAATGTATATTTAAAATATAAAGTTCAGTCTAGAAATTAAAAACATTTTAAAAATAAATGTAATTGGGGTCCATTGCCAAATGGAAATTATCCCTTACTGTGGTTATTTTTTTTCCAGATGGGTTACTTATGAATATGGCAATTACAGAGGTCGACAGTTCCTACTGTCACCAGCAGAAGTACCTAATTGGTATGAATTCAGTGGCTGTCGCCAAATAGGTTCTCTACGACCTTTTGCTCAGGTATTTTTCTCTTCTCCATGCTGTGAGTAGACTCTTCTGAATTTTTTTTCTTTTTTTGTAAATGCAATCCAACTTTTTGGTTTCAATTTAAAATTGGCCCCACCCCCAGGACTTTGGGCTCAGTTTCTGGTGCTAAGAGGTGTGGCTGCTTCAGAAATGCCATCAAACTCACCATCAAACATGGCATGTCCAAGCCTTGGGTTGTCTGTAGGCAGGCTTCCTGCCCCAGGCACTTTGAAATTTTGTCAAACTCTTCTCATTGAGAAATTTCTAAAACCCCTGAGACTCTTGGGTATAGTAATTATCCCTAATCCATACCTCGCTTTGGATTCTTCCCTACATTAATGCTGTTCAGTGCTTCTAATAGTGCATCTTATATATGACGATTACTGGGGTTTTTTTGTCTTCTAGAAACGAATTTGTTTCAGACTTCGAAACAAAGCAACAGGGTTATTCATGTCAACCAATGGAAACCTAGAGGATCTGAAGCTTCTTAGAATACAGGTCATGGAGGATGTTGGTGCTGATGATCAGATTTGGATTTATCAAGAAGGATGCATCAAATGCAGGGTGAGCTTTTAGGATTAGACAGGGGTCTGTAATACCTTTGCTAGGAGGTGACTTATTCTTTAACATGCTTTTGGTCTGTCTTCAAGTAGATGCTATTTCATAATTCCTGGAGCACTTTCAGAAATAAATTGGAAACTTTTTTCATGAAAATATTTTCTAGCTCTGATAGCAGCAGCCTAGGAACTTAAAATCAGAAGTAAATCTTGCACTGATCCAAGATAATTTGTTTCTATACTTCATTTTTGTATAGTAATAGAAAAGGGAAGTGTTTGTTATTCTTCCCTTTTCCTACTTGTTATAGAAATATTAATAACTATAAGCTCCAACACTATCAACAAAAACCACTCTTGGTTTGTTTCCGTTTGGGGGAACCCCACAGAATAGGATGAAAGGGGAAGAGATACCTCTGTGTATACAACAAATTCCATTTCCTAATTGTCATGTATTGTAAAGTGGAAAATGGCCCATTCCTCCCATATCACTTCTGCTATAAGACATTTAAAAGCTGAATGTAGTAAGATTTTATGAGAGAAGCTTATGCTTCTATGGTAGGTAACTTCTTACTTACTCGTTGATTTTATGAGCTTGACTGTTCGCTCCAGATTTAAAAAAAAAAAACAAAAAACCTGGGTGCCCCATGAGTCAGCAGAAGGCATACAGCCTTGTGAAAAGGAGCACAACTTGTTAATTGGGTCGGTTGTGCTTGAGGGAGAATGATCCTTTCAGTAAACAGAAGTGCTGTTGAGACACGCACGGGGAGAGAGCACAAGAATCAGAACTAGCTGCAGTAAAGCAGCATGGAAAGCAGCCAGCTTCTGCCTCTGAATTATCGTAACTGAAGAAAATGGTGCCTTTCAGCAACTATTTCTAACAAACATTTTAGTGAATTGTTTAACAATTTTGAAATTGTTTAACAATTTCAGTAGGTCAATGAGAAAAAGTAAAGTGTCCTAGATTATCACAATGCTTTTATCTCAATATAGAATAGTATACCTTTAATAAACATTTTTATGGCAAGACATATTCATGGCATGTGAACATATGACCGCCATACACTGTTTATATATATCAAGGGTGGATTCACTTCGGGGAAGGGCTCTTAAAATCTCTAAAACACCCTCTACTAAGTTTGTATTTTTTTCCTTCTCTTTTTATAGCTGGAGAGCATGTCCGTTTAGAAAATTTTAGACATTTCTCATGAAGGAAAGAGAAGCTAATAAATGCAATTTCAAGTTTTAAAATGGTAAAATGCCCTTTAGCCACTCCAGAGCTACAGAATTAGAGGTGTAGTCATATACTGGAAGGTCAGGCCAAGCATGGATGTGGATATGTCAGGGGAGATTTAGCTATAGACCAGCCTCAGATCATGGTCACTCTGACAGGGAAAAATATCATGATGGGCAGTTTTAATGTCCCGAGGCTTTCCTTACTAGTAAGACAGAGAGTCTTGCAAAGGGTCAAAGTCTCCTACGAGGGACAAGAATAGAGAACTTTCCATCACTTATGTCATCTGAAATGAAGGGGATATATATTTGTTGTTTGATTCTAGTTACTCTGGCTAAAAGCTGGCCTGCCTAATGTGGGTTAAATGAAGCCAGGAACTAAGATAATTTTTAAAAATCAATTTAACCAGGGAAATGATTGCTAGGAGACTTAAGTATGTATCCATCTCTAAGATACCTTGTCTTTTCACTAAGCAGATAGCAGAAGACTGCTGTCTGACGATTGTGGGCAGCCTGGTGACATCTGGCTCTAAACTCGGCCTGGCCCTTGACCAGAATGCGGACAGTCAGTTCTGGAGCATGAAGTCGGATGGCAGAATCTACAGCAAGTTGAAGCCAAATTTAGTTTTAGATGTCAAAGGTAAGGATAATTTCCTTTATTTTCTTTATTGTAATATGTCTTTCAGCTAAGGAAAAATCTATTCTTAACTTTTGAAAATGATGAGTATATTATTTTAACAATAGCAAGAGAGCCCCTATGTTCCCGCTACTGTGCTAACTTCTAAGTACATTATCTCATGTGCTCTTCACAGCAACCCTGTGAGCTCTATGTTGTCCTTTTCTCCCCCTCTTCTTCTCCCTAATTTTATAGCCAAAAAAACTGAGGCTCAAGGAGGTTAATCAGTTTGGCCAAGACCTCACACTCCTAAGTGCTAAACTGGAATCTGGACACAGGCTGCCTTCAAACTATTATAATAGTGTTAGACTAAAAATCACAAGCTAAAAGGCTGTGATCTCACTTAGTTCAGTATAGTTGATGATTTTCATGTATATACACGTAACCTTTCATTGAAAAGATCTAAGATTGAAAAGGAATTAAACAACACAGCCTAGAGGATTTCAATGGAATGTGTGTTCAGTGGACTTAATCCAGAGTGAACAGATGGTGCTGGGGAAGAGTAGGTTTAGCCTCATGGTCCTCAAACTTTATTTGCATTAGAATCACCTGGAGGGCTTGTTAAGACACAGATTGTCAGGCCTCCTCAGAGTTTCTGATTCAGTAGGTCTGGGGTGGGGCCTGAGAATTTGCTGTTCTAACAAGTTCCTAGGTGGTGCCAATGCTCCTGGTCTGAGGACCATACCAGAACCATGGATGGTCATTTTTAAACAAAAGAAAAATGACCTAACTTATATATAGGAACTCAGTGCACTAGTGTTGTTTGCTATTGACAAGCAAACACACAGTGTGTTTTAGTCATGTCATCTGGGGGTAATTTTGCTTTAAATTATTAATAGGAATCAGAAAAGCCAGCATGCTTATGTTTTCTAAGTTTGGTGAACTGGTGATAATGTAACCATACTATACTACATACTCCATTTTAAATCATTGCTAGAAGTTGGCTCAATTTTACTTTAATCGGGGCTTTAGGCCAATGCTGTTATTCAAGATAGGGGTAAAGAAACAGCTGTGATCTGATTTTTAAAAAACTTTTCTGGAGATAATGGAGGATAAGCCTGAACATCTTCATCAGGGTCTTTGGTAACTGAATGAGGAGCAAAAATGGCTGTCACTTCTGGATGACTTCCAGGTGGTAGTGGTCAACCCACTTAACAATGGAATTAGAATCACACAGAACCCAAGAAGGATACTCAGAGGCAAACAAAGTTTAAGGCAGAGTACTACACTTAGGGAGCACAAATTAAGCAATACAACCACAGGCTGGATGGGAACCAAAAGGATCATATAAAATGCAGGTAGTACCCTTGGATGTAAGAAAGTAAATGCAACATTCAGCAAATGAGTAATATGTAGTATCCTTCACATTACATTTGGTACAGCAGATTTGTCAATCTGTAGACAGGTGAAATATCCATTGAATGGATGATCGATCTAAGGTTCAAACTGGTTAAGAATCACTGACTCAGACCTTTATTTATTTTTATTTTGATCTACTTTATTGCACTGGAGCTCCTCAGTCTATACAAGATAGTTCCAAAACCTCCAGAGAAGCCAAAGAAATGTGACTAAATTGGAAAAATGGAATTTTTGAGGATATGTTAGAAAAATTAGGCTAGTTATTCCCCAAAGGAAGGCCGAGCAAACCTTCATGTTTCTTACAAATGTAATCAGCTTCCTGTGTCCAGCGTTAAGGTCACTATTCCTTAGAGCATTTCGTTCTTCCAATATGTGTTTATTGGGTACCCGCTACGTGGCAGGCTCTGAGCTAGGCACTGGGGCTGCCAAAGTGGAAAAAAAGACTCCTACCTTGGTTTCAGAGAGCTTACATTCTAGAAGCTCCAAGTATAGAGGATTTCCCCCCAACTTGCTACGTTAACAGTGGGCCAGAAGTAAGGACATGTGGCTCCTAATCTTGGCTGACGTGAACTTTGGGGACTCCAAGTGGTTCTTCCTTCGGACTTCACTTTAAAGCTCCAAGGCCCCTTCCTAACATACACTATAAATTAGTCAAGTGCCTCTTGAGTAAGGATGATGTCCTGTATATTCGTGAACTCTCGGTATCTAGTATGGTAGCTACAATATTGAATTTCTTGTTAAGCCGAATTTAAATTTCTCAGAATGTGGGAGAATGATGCCATCTTGTGGACAAGAGAGAGCAGGGCTGCACATCCCACACACTACGCGAAGGAAATACAGACACATCTCTTTGGTGCACTTAATAGGAAACCATGATTTTCATTAGCTACAACTGTTGAACCACTTGTTACCTATAAAAATTGCCATAAGAGTTATCAGATCACGTGTCTTTTTTCTAGCCCAACTCTCTGTTTGGGGAATTGTCTTGGTCGACATTTATATATTATTCCAGACCACATACCTTGTAATAGCAGTGGAAGGTGATTCACACTTACTTTAAAAAACATTAAGTCTGGATGATGAAAATTCTTTCCAAAGGCAAAAGAATGAATTATTTCCTCAGGAACTTTTTAGTGGACTATGTTGTGTGTGTCTGTTTTGGCAGAGGGTAGGGTTTGCTACCCTCTGGTGGCAACTACCCTCTCCACCCCACCTTGCAAACTTACACATAAAAGGCCCAAGGCCTTACTTACCCTTGTATTCTTACCTCGATGGGTAGAGGCTGTAGATTATCAATGATGATAAACTAATCTCTTATAAGAGGAGTATAAGAAATTTCCTTGCTCAACTACCTACATCTATTATGTAAGTTTTCAGACTTCTTAAATATTTTGTAAATGCTTTAAAGGAGAGAAGAATGTTTTTCTTGGCCTAAGGATGAAGCATGATTTTAATACCAGCCACACCCTACATTCAGATACACAGATTTGTATTTTGATGGGGGTCCTTGGTGATCTAATCTTGGTACAGAGGCTGATGCTAAAAAAGGATAAGGTACCTGTGAAAGGATGTTTATTCCACACTGAAAAAAAATTAGATACCCAAAAATTTATTTTGTTAATGATACTTCTTCACTGAAAGAAGCCATGAGGCTGTTTTTAACACCAAAGTATCTGAAATATCTAATAAGCACCCTTGGAAAATCTTCAAACATTCTGGTGAAAGGGAGTTAGGTAATTCATGACACCAGTTTTACAGTTCAGGGGCACTCAGCACATGAGATGCCATGAATTTTTATATACCAAACCAGTTCCCAGCAGTGAGAGTGCTACCCTGTCCCTTTGTATACTTCAGTGTCATTCAAACCTTCCCTTTGCCTTAATACAGCCATTTTTCAGTATTTATGCAAAACCTGCTCCTCTGACCACTCTTCCTCCCAGCTTTCCACTGCCAGGTCTGAGATTCCTCGCTGTGTCTCAAACCCATGATCTCACCCACCACTGAATACATTTTACAGTCTCTTTACTCCTTTTCTCGAGATTTTTCCCTGTTCCCCTCAATTTCAGACACTGTAAGAGTGACTGTGGACTAGCTTTTGAGAATTGGGTAGAAAAAGGAGCCCCATTCAGGTAGGATATCCTATGTGAAGTTGCTAGTGCCCCATGATGGGATTTTGACAGATTTGCCCATAGCAGGTGACCGTCTCATCCTATGGGGCGGTCAGGGCTTCTCCCCCTGCTTTGTTTCCTTGAGGCATGCAGTTTTACACCTTGTTTACTTTGGCTCCACCAGTGTTGGAATAAACTGTGTCTGCTATAGCCCCTTTACCGTGGGCGTATTATCTTTTTCCTTTCTTTCAGGGGGTACACAGTATGATCAAAATCACATTATCCTCAACACCGTCAGCAAAGAGAAGTTAACGCAAGTGTGGGAAGCCATGGTCCTATAAACCTCAACAAAGAAGGCAGAAGGAATCTTTCTGGAGGTCTTTCCAGCCACCTTATTTAAAAACAAAAGGACAATGCTGATGGGCAAGCCAATTCGAAAGTGGATCTACTCCTTCAATAACTCTAAATTCCATCTTGAATCATACTGCCATGACTGAATTGTCTCATCCTTTCAAAAGACTATAATAGTTTTAAACCAGTAATCTGTCCTCCTTTCATTTCTTGCCTTTCGTTTCCTTTTAGTAGCTGCTTAAACAGGTTGCCTTATTAGCAGCTTTTGGATGTTTTTTAAAAATGTTATATCAAAACTATGTACATTTTAAATTATTTCCAAAGATAGTGACAGGAGAGGACAGGAACAAAGGAACAAATTTACCAACTTTGTGGACCTACAAATCCCTTACACTTTAAAGGGAAGGATAAAAGCTCAGGTCCGTAAGGTAGAGGACTGTTTAGCATCTGAGAAGAAATACTTCATTAGGCCTGTAATTTTGGTTCTTGGCCTTAACATTTTCTAGAACCATTATGCTGCAAAGATTGAAAGCCTTAGGTATTCAGATGTATTTTAAGGAACTCAGTCAGTAAACTAAAATACTATTTTCTTTCAGTTAATATTAAAAATTAGTAAATTTACAAAATTTCATGTCCATGTCTACTAACATTATCAGCAGGATTTGAATTATTTTACCCATCGGTTGCCCTAGAATGTCACAAGTAAGTGTTGTTTAATGCCTTTCTCACAGCTGCTGCTGGAACACTATTACTATGACCTAATTTATTAGCCCGTCCTTACTCATCTACAACAGTGCTGAAGCCATGTTATGTAATTTTTTACTGAACTCGGATCTTTTAGCCTAATTTCCTGCCCTCATATCTCCCTGCATGGGGCTGCCTTCCCTGACGCGTTCCACAGCTGCACTCTGGGGCCCTGCTGAAAGCGGGCAGCCTCAGGTCTGGGGTACGGCAGCCCCTACGTCACTGCCTTCTGGCAGCAAAAGAGAGAGGTGTGGAAGGCTCAAGAGAACGCCAAGCAACTATCTCCAGGATGAGAAGGGAAGGAAACCTTAAGTGATGTTTGGTCAAATCTTAGAACTCTGAGAACCCTAAAATGCAGTAAGAATTTCAAGAATGCAAATGGAAACTGTTTAACTGCTGACAATACACTGGCCCATACAGTGCTGTTCAAATAGTGGGTTCTAGTTTTGAACAAAACTGCTAAACATTTCCTTGAATACATGTCTTCTGCTTTATTGTCCTTGTCACTAAATACTGGTGCTCTTGTCACAGGTAGAACAAATCTTGTTTCCTTTTCATCTGTTCAAGTGTGTTTCCAGTTCTAAGTTGAGCCTCTCTAGAGTCTCTGGTAGGCAATCATGGTCATTATATCTTCAGTTTTAAAATACGTTTTGCACGTGTGCAATGGCATCCAGCAGGCATTACATGTACAGCTCTGGCTTTAGGCCTTTTTGTGCATATCATTACAGTACGGTGGGGTAAGACATTCTACGACAGCCTGTGCTGAATTTCCCTCTTGAATAAACTTATTTCTGGTTAACGATATTGATGAAATATGATAGAGTCCACTATAGCAGCCCTCATGTGACACCTCAAAGAGGGTGAGCTAGCAGATTAGATGAAAATGCCTGATGAAGAGGACGAGGCAGGTTTGAGGGTGCTTTAATATTAAGTAACAGCAGGAGATCTTGCTGACCACCCTCTTTCCAGACCGGCTTGTTTCTGAGGGTGGAGACGAGGGTGAGTGAGGTCCTGGCTCAAGTATTTTATCCCCTCACTACCACCTGGCAGCCCTCAAGGGAAAAGAGCTACGACTGCTCCAGATGAAAGTCCAGAGCAGCTAGCATTTACAAATGGAAAATCATGTTTTTCTTTTGAAATAAAACTGAACTAAGACCAGCAATTCTAGAGAAAAGCCTGCCTCCAACACACTACCAAATCAGTGTCTAACAGGAATAAACCCAGCAGAAATTTTCTTAAAACTGGTCTATATATCAAAAGCTAGAAACACTGTTCGATACTAGGGATGAGTACATCAGGAAATAAAACACTTACCTTAGATGAATGCAAAAGACTAGAGATTCAAAGGCGTACACGACAACGGGTTGATTGGTGAGATACCTAAATGCAAGCATTTGAGGTCAGATAACTGGGAGCTCTGGGCTCCACTGGAATGGTTGCAATTTCCATGGAAAAGCCCTCAGAGAAGCATGTTTCAATTGTTGAAAGAGGTCCAGCCTTTACACAAAATGTAAGGGTTTTAAAAAGTTTCAATATTAAGAGTAAACAAATGAATCTGGTGAGATTTTTATATATAACTCTAGGAGATTCAAAACTTTGGGGGCTGATACACTAGGGTGGAGGAATAAAAACAAAAGGAAACCTTGGCCAGTAAGAAAAGTGATCATCGATGAATTCAAGAAGGAGCCAGCTTTAAATAATCCCTTCATGCTAACATCCATCCCTACACTGAAAGTTTTAGTATCACACAAACCTTAAGATGGCGAAGCAGAGTTTGAGCTACTAGAAAAGAAGGTGCCACAGCAGCCTGCAAAGCTGGTGTGAAAGAACAGCTCGAAAACGAGATGCAGTTCTCATGAAAGACTATAGAGAAGTCCAGGTGCTGGTCCTGTTGTGTCAATTACTGGCCAAAAAGGTGTGTGTATTTTTTCGAGCTATGTCATGGGATTTATAATCTAATGTGGAAACAATGTTTGAAAGGGATGGCTAGAAAAAAGTTTTGAGCCCTCAGGTACTCATCAAACAAGACAGCCAACAATCACCAAACTGCACATTTATTTAAACGACATTAATTACGGTCTTTCCTCGTGCGTGTCCTCTTTCCACCTTCAGGAAGGCTTCTGGAACTTTAGAAAAGGGAAAGGTTTGTTCAATAACTGGCTCAATCTGTAAAACACAAGAGGTTGACTGGTGGATAAAAAGCCTACATCTTTTGAGGCAAATGATGTCTGTAGTTAGTTTCTTCACCATGTCCCTCAGGGCCGGCCTCTCTCCAGTGCAACAGGGCCAGGTGCTCACACCCAGCTGTGATGCCGCCTCTGCTCCTGCTGCATTGCGTCCCCTTCCTCCCTCCCTGACCTGACTTTTGCTCTATACCATCTTGTCACTCTCCCACTCAGAGCCCTTCCACAGCTCCCAGCCTGGCATTCAGAGCCCATTGCCACCCTGCCCTCAGCCCTCACATAGGCCTGTGCTTTACCACAACGGTCTACTTGTCATTTACTGAACATGGGATGTTTCCACGTCTGCTCATACAAGTCACTCAGCTCAGAAATGCCTCCGCTGAAAATCTGACCACCTCTCCAGCCCTGCTCTCATGTTCCCTTCCCTAATCTCCCAGTTTGCAGTGTGTTTTCCCTTTTGACTGCTACAGGAACCACGAGGCCCTTCTCATGGACTGCACTTGCTACAGCTGAGGACGTGTCTCAGACACCCTGTAGTGTATGGTAAATGCCAAAGATGGTGTCCTAAGGTTCTTGCCGTCTGTATCCCTATGGTCCCCTTACAGACAGTACACAGAATAAATACAGTTTTTTAAAATTTGTTAAATGTTTGGCATATTTACTCAACCAGAGTATAAAGTACCTGTAGCACTGGCCACCACTTTTTTATCTCCCATAGCACCCAGCATAAAGCTAGGCATATAGTAGGAGCTTAATCAATGTCACTTAGGTGAAAACCTGTAAGTGGGAAATGAGTCATATAGCTTTCTGGGCTTCAGGAAAACTTGTCCCAGGCTGCAGCTGCCCTGGGAGGCTTTGCTAAACGACAGCACAGCTGGTTAGAATTTACAAGAAAGCCATTCCAGCCAACTCATAAATGTTTGAATGCTGCTGGGTCTCCTTACTGTACTGGTGCTGCCAGCAACCTCCTTTGAAACTAGATCTCATGTAACACCCTCTCTTTCCATGTAAAAATCCAACTGAACTCTTCCTTTTCAAAACTTTAAGCAAAGATCAGTAATTGTCCACTGGGTATCTCCAGAGCCTGCCTGCCATAGCTCCAGTGGCAGGGAAAAGATATCAGAAGACATAAGCCAACTTGTACATTTTACACCCTTTTCCTTGTACAAGAGGAAGAGGTGTTCTTGCAACATTCAGACGCATCTGATGAACCTTCCTCTGGTACAAATTTCACAGCCTAGCCACCTGAGGAACATCTTAGACCTGTGGTCCCCAAACCCCGGGCCCTGGGCTGGGCTGCAGAGCTCTGCTGACCCCCACCCCAACCCATGGAAAAATTGTCTTCCATGAAACTTAGGAAGGGGGCGCACAGCAGGAGGGGAGTGGCAGGTGAGCGAGCAAAGCTTCATCCGTATTCATAGCTGCTCCAGATTGCTCGCGTGACCGCCTGAGCTCTGCCCACCCCCTCCTGCCATCCCGGGTTGGGGACCACTGTCTTAGACTACAAAAGTTCCCTTCTCTAAAGAGCTGAAAATACTTTTACACCCACAAATCACAATAAGCTCATAATAAAAGTATAGCTGGTACATGCTATCCTTTGTGCCAGGCACTGTTCTAAGGGCTCCACATATTTTACCTCATTTAATCCCCAAAACTATTTTTTGAGGTAGGTATTATCATTTCCATTTCACAGATGAAGAAACTAAAGCACAGAGTTAAACAAGTTGCCCTCTGTCACACTACTGCTAAGTAGTAAGGCAGGATTCAACCTGGCACCATCGTCTCTGCTCCCACCACTACGCGCCGAGCCTTTCATCTATCCAGTGCGGCTGTGTACAACTACCTTAAAGTCTTACAGGAAGGGAAAGACAGCCAAGGATTAAGTGACTTATCACAGCCTGCATCATGGCCTGCTTTCCTTGTGCCAGCTGAGGAGCGGGTTTCTAGGCCCTGCGTCCAGGCCACCACGATGGCAGATGTGTGGTATGTGTGCCAACATTCCCATCCATGCCTAAGGAAGACATCACTAATTGATAATCCCCTGCAAGCTGAGCATGACCTCAGAATCTTCCCCAACACCACAGCCACTATTAACTGCTCTGAGCGGAATTGTTCCATGAAACCTATTTGTCTTCTCTGATACAAGAATGGAATTCATTAAAGTATTTCCTGTATGTCCCACATGAAATCTGAACCCATCACTCTCCTAAAGCCCCGGGACATTTTTTTCTAGATGCTAGGTTTACCTGGAAAAGGAATCACCTGAATGCATAGTTAAAATGCACAGGTCCTAAGCCTCCTGTTAAAACAACTAAATCATCTCTATGGGTGGGACAGAGACAATGCACTTAAAATAAGCTTCCCAGGTGATCTGTATGCACACTAAAGTGGGACTCACTGCAGCCTTTGCCTTACTGTTAGAGTTCCTAACTTGTATCATAAACATATTCATCCATCCCACAGAGATCGACTCAGTCTGCCTTCTAAGTCCTGGCACTAACCCAGAGCAGGTACACAAAACAGACTCGACTCCAGAATGAACGGCCTGAGCTCATCTAGCTATGTTCACAGATCCTGAACTGATGACACAGCAGCTTGCACTTACTGCACACTTTAATCTGGCTGGTCAGGCCTATTGTGGCAAATAACACAGAGGGCTGACCGTGGCATAATGAGTCATTCAGCAATTCCCATAAGTGACAATGAAAAAACAGGCTTTCGAATTGAAGGCAGGCAAATGCCACTGTTGGCTGAATACATGACAGCAAATGGAGATTAACTGGATAATGAGCCAGTGTCTGTGTACAGCCTCACGTCAGACCTAGAGTGCTTGTTTGTTAAGGACAAAGGGATCAGAGTGAAAATCCAGAGAGGGGAAAGAAAGGTTACTCACAGTTACGTGGGGGCATTTATGTGATGACACTGCTATAGTCCACCTGGCACAGGGAGCCCTGTTATAAAGCGGCAGGCTCAACACCCACTTCTCGCTACACGGACATGTGGGGCTCGCAGCCAGCCAGGAGACCCTCCTTCAGTTGTGGGTCCAAGAGTGGGGTCTCCTGATTGTGTCTCACCTGCCTGAAACAAAGGCTGAACAAGCCCAGCCCCAAGATTTGGCACCTGCTGCCTGACATAGGGACAATAGGAACCTCAACCTCCCTAGATGTGGCCTCGGAATATTGCTGATTACCGGCTCCTGGGAAAGTCCTCTCTCCCTCTGAGGCAGAAATCCTCTCTGCCCCTTGAGGGGAAGAGTAAAGAAACCCTCTCACCATTTCAGGAGCACAGGACAACCAGCAGAGAAAGGACAGCAGGCAGAGGTTTGCCCTCAATGCCCGTTTTCCCAGTGAGAAGCACAAAACAGTAAAGCTAAAAGGGATCTGAGTGAGCCTGTTGGATAGATTAGGAAACTGAAGCGCAGTGTCTGAGGGATAAGTGCGAGGTCAGAGCTGTCAGCAGCAGAGCCAAAATGAGGACCAGGACTCCTGATTTCATCACTGAATTGGTGGGATAGAAGCGATTTGGGAGTCACAGCCTGTTCCACTTCTTTCCCTAGACCCTCAGCCTCATGCCCCAGCAGGCACAGAGGCTGGAGATCTCAGAGGGTGGGGTGTGAGCAGAGACTGACACGTGAGACGGCGAGGGGCTCCGGGTATGAGTCCAAATCCACACACCTGTGGATGGGCACCGGGACCACAGTTCCAGCACCACCTCTCGGACAGGTATGTCCCTGCCCTCTGAGATAGGTCCACGATTTCCAGGGTCAGGGTAAAGAGGAAGAAGGGGACTTAAATGAGTCCCTTTAGAGAAGAAAAAGATGAAAGGAAGAGGTAAATTTTGCTCAGTTTTGCAGTTTCTTAGAAACTTCCTGCCCCCAGTCGGAAAACTCAGGGAAGAGAGGTAGTGAGATGGGAGGAGGATGGTGGGCAGAACTACTCTCCAGGGGAGTAAATGTGCCCATAACAGAAAGCACCCTAGGGGGCTGCTTGTCCCTGGGGTCCTGCCGGAAGGTGAGAGGAGAGACTCAGTACACATTTCCTCATAGAAACAATTCCAGTAGCATCAGAGGAACTTTGGAAGCATAAAGGCTGTGAGATCCATGAGACACCTGCCATATCACACAAGGCCTTCTAGTGGCCCTAGGGACTCGATCTCTAATCATATTCTCCCTATGGAGCAAAATCCAGTTGTAAAGAAACTCAAAGTGTAGAATGTAATTCATTGCTAAATTAGGGCCTGGGTATCCAAGAAGGGTCTGGGAAATTGCCTACTTCAGAATTCATCACATTTTTCTCTAAAGCTGCAGTGTCTGATACGGCAGCCTTTAGACACATGTGGTTATTTAAATTAATTAAAAGTAAATAAAAGAAAAAATTTAGTCTCTCAGTTGCACTAGCCACATTTCAAATGCTCAACAGTTGCCTGAGGCTAGTGGCTACCACTGTTCACAGTGCAGACAGAACATTTCCATCACTGCAGAAAGTTCTAGAGGACAGTGCTGCTCAGAAGGTACTCAGTGTGGCTAACACATTTCTCCACACCCTACTGCGCGAAGTAGGTGCTAGCAGGCCCTCAGTAAATGTTCTGAATTGAACTCAAATAAGTTATATAGGAACTATTCTGACCCTGGCTAAAATAAAGAAACAACACACTGAGACATCTATATCACTGCTTGCCCAAGAAGCATGGCTAGTCACCTAGGATTTTGAATAGACCTGTGAACATTAAGGACATGACATCAAAGAGCTTTAATAATTATATGAAGACTATATGTGAGCAAATAAACATACCCAAAGAAATAAAAGGGTACACGGAAAACTCTTCCTCCCAGACTGACCCCCAGCCATCTGGATTCCCTCCTCAGAGACAACCAGCACTTCCAGTTCCTTTCTTACCGTTTTCAGATATTTTATGCATTGTGGTAGGCAGAATAATGGCCCCCAAAGACAGTCACATTCTAATTCCCCAAACCTGTGAATATGTTACCTTGCATGGCAAAAGGACTTTGCAGATGTGATTAAGTTAAGGGTCCTGAGAGTGGGGGATCATCCTGGGCAATCCAAGTGGGCCCAGTGTAATCACAGGGTCCTTGGGAAAGAGAGCCAGGCAGGCTGTGGTCAGAAAAGATGAGATGACAGAAGCAGAGAGCAGAGTAATGCACGGCCAAGAGCAAAGGAATGCAGGCGGCCTGCCCCCAGAAGGAACGCAGCCCTGCCAATGTATTTTGGACTTCTGACCTTCAGGAAATGTTTATTTGCTTAGGAGAAAATGCCAATAAACCATTTGTAGGCCCAAGGCACAATTTCAGTAGCAGCCCATTATACTTAATGTGCTAATTATAAATCATTATTTTTAGGACTGCCCAGAACAGTGGTTTTCAAACCAGTGTCTGAGAGCCCAGGGGTCCTCGGTTATCTGGAGCAGCTGCAGGGAGAGCGAGAGAACGTTTGCAGGGCAGGCCCCTCCCCAGTCACTCCTCCAGCAGAGCGGCTCCTTCTCTGCCTGCTCTGTGAACTGCGGTTGGCAGGAGTGGGTTCCACATTCAAAACATTTAACTACTAGTCTGAGATAAAGATCAGCAAACTCTTTCTGTAAAGGACTGGACAGTGAATATTTTAGGTTTTGTAGGCTTCACATGGTCTAAGTTCTTTGTTTTGTTTTGTTTTTAAATCTTTAAAGATATAAAAACTATTCTTAGCACAGGGGATGTACAAAAATGGGCCTCAGACCTGATTTGGCCTACTGGCTGTAGTTTGCCAACCGCTGGTCTAAGATATAATGAAAATACTATATAATTCTTAAAATTCAAACTGAAATTGTGCCTAATTAGGATGAATATGAAATCCTGCTATGTGCAACAGCCGTCATGATGACAGCCATGTGAAAACAATGCCTAAGTCTGGATCTCTAGGAGAAATGGGCTGTGAGGTCCTCACACGCCTGTGAAATTTCAGCTCCTCATCACTTTGAGCCTGACAGTGGTGAGCACATTAAAAGCAGGAGACCTAATTCCAAAACATTTACTGAGTGCTACACTGTGAGAAAGCAAAGGCAGGGTTGGCGTTCACAATGAAAGTGGAAGTATGATGCTATTAGTAGACTGACAGAGAGTGCTCATTATTGTGGATACTGGGCCATGCAGGACTAACAGACAGAAATTAGACTCCACCAATAATACTCATTAATCTAGATTCTTTTTTTTTTTTGAGCGAGGCAACGTTGCCCAGGCTGGTCTTCAACTCCTGGGCTCAAGTGATCCTCCAGCCTCAGTCTCCCCAGTAGCTGGGATCACAGGTGCATGCCACCACCCAGCCAGCTCAGATTCTATTTTTTTTTTTTTTTGAGACAGAGTCTCACTCTGTTGCCCGGGCTAGAGTGCCGTGGCTTCAGCCTAGCTCACAGCAACCTCAAACTCCTGGGCTCAAGTGATCCTCCTCCCTCAGCCTCCCGAGTAGCTGGGACTACAGGCATGCGCCACCATGCCCGGCTAATTTTTTCTATATATATTTTTAGTTGTCCAGATAATTTCTTTCTATTTTTAGTAGAGACGGGGTCTCGCTCTTGCTCAGGCTGGTCTCAAACTCCTGACCTTGAGTGATCCACCCGCCTTGGCCTCCCAGAGTGCTAGGATTACAGGCGTGAGCCACCACGCCAGGCCTCAGATTCTATTTTTATCAGGATAGTTTAAGTCACAAGTGACCAGTGCCAGATTTTCACAGTCCTGGTACCAAGTCTCTAATGAGGTAAAACAGGCCAGAAGGTAAGACAATGGATAAATAAAGAGAGAAGGGACCTCGAAGATAGGCCACAAGAGGAATTCCTGACACTAAATACACAAACGAGATTTCCGAAAACTGGTTATTTTATACCTACCAAAATTACAAAGGCACATACATTTTTTTGAGATAGGGTCTCACTCTGTTGCCCAGGCTAGGGAGCAGTGGTGTCATCATAGCTCACTGCAACCTCCAACACCTGGGCTCAAGTGAGTCTCCTGCCTCAGCCTCCCAAGTAGCTGGGACTACAGGTATGTGCCACGAGGCCCAGATAATTTTTTTAATTTTTGTAGAGATGGGGTCTCACTATGTTGCTCAGCCTGGCCTCCTGGCCTCAAGCAACCCTCCCGCTTTGACTTCCCTAAGTGCTAGGATTATAAGCATGACCACCACGTCTGGCCTGCATATACTTTTTGACTCAGCAATTCCATTTCCATGAATAGAAATGGATACATTTACAATTAGGTACTAAACACAAATACTGGGTTATCCACTGAAGCATTATCTGCAAAAGATTAAAATTAAACAAATGATAGTATATCTGTACAGTGGAATACTATGTAGCTGTTTGTAAAAAAAGAATGAGAAAGATTTTTATATCCCAACATGAAACAAAGTTCAAGATATGCTGTTTAAAAAAAAAAAAGCAATTTGCAGAACAGTATATTACCCATTTGTGTTAGGAAGGAAGAGAGAGAGAGAAAAAATATATATATTTTTGCCTGTTTTGATAGAACATCTTTGGAATACCCAAGAAACTGGTAACATTGGTTGTCTCCAACAAGCAGAATCTCAGTGACTGAGGAACAGCAGTCAAAGGAAGATTTTTTGAAATAACTTTTCCTATCTCTAGGATTTTTAACCTTGTGAATGCATTTATTCAAAAACTTAAAAGAATTTTAAAAGATTTGGCTCTATTGTTTCATAGCTTTACATTGACAAAACACAACTATTGCTCTTCTATCAGTTACCTGCTAATTAGATTCATAAAGCACTCAGCCAACGCTTGGAAGAATTTAAATGTTCTCATCCAATTTAACAAATCTCTACTAACCACACAACATGTAAGTAGATCAGTTGTGTTACTCTTTCCAATTTCCCGGCGTAGACAGGCAATGACCTCTCACATCCCCACAGAAGCAGGGACACGACAAGACAGCGGACCTCACCATGGCATCCAGTGTCACCTATCAACTTGCACAGTCCCAGAAATGGTCAGAAATGACTCCCAAGCCCAAACAGCCTGAGTAGGAGAGAGGAGAATCAAAGGCAAAAAGAACATTTCCTCATTCACTCTCCTGTGAGGACACTTCAAGGATATCTTTTTTTATATCATGTCCTCTTTTAGCCATTATGCCATCTGCCAAATTTAATAGGTAGATATATACAAGTCACCTTTCATCTCTGTTGGGTAAATAGTAACTTCCATGTAGAGACACAGTTACAATATTTTGAACACAAAAGAACAATGGTAAGCAAGTGGACAGCCTGGAGCAGGTATCAGGACAAGCACAATCACGTGGCATACTTCTGGAGGACAGTGGCCTCTCTAATAATGGGGTTCCAGCCACGTGAAGCACTTACTTATTTGATGATAGTTCATTCCCTTCTTCCTTAGAGATAAGCATCCTGGTGGGATGTGGGAGAACCTGACAAAGAAGCACTTACACAGTCACAACAACACTGAGCCCTGGTCCCCACCCAGGACACACAGGACTTAGATGTCCAAGAAGCATGCAAACTTGGAACAAAAAAATTTGGGAGATAGTAACAGGCCATCCTCTATCATATATTAATAGTTCCTTGGCTGTAATAGAATAAAAATCCTAAAAGCACAAAAAGCAGCCAGTAGTTCCTAAACACAACCTTTCCAAAATTGAACTGGAAAGATGACATGCACCAGCAAGGGGCAGGGGGCAAGCAGAAGAAAGCCCACCTCCAGGGCCTCTGTCCGCGTGTTTCAGCATGGCTCATGCGATGGCAACACAGGCTTGCTCCAACCCCCTTCTCTGCCCACTGCAAAGTGACAAGGACAAGACAATGTACACTGAAGTCCCAATTCAGCTCCCAGCACTAAGAATGCAGCTAATGGTGGAGAAGGAAAAGCACAGGACTCGGAGTCAGAGAGAGTGAGTTCTGGTCCTACTTCTGCAAGCCTGAGCAGGCTCCTTTTTCACTGTGAGCCAGTTTTCTCATCTGTAAAATGAGAATCTTTGTATTTATGATCTCAGGCAAGCCTCTAAGGTGTACAAGGTTTTCCATTCTATAACTCCATATAATCTCTCAACAAAATCACATACATCAGCACCAGAATATGAGGGCACCTTCTGGATTATTCCTCCAGAGATGGAATGGCATGGCAGTTAAGACCATGTAAGAACCCAAATAAGCAGGTGATAACTGAGGAAACTTTCAACCCCCAGGAACCTTGAAAGGCCTTTTGACACCCCCCAAAAGGATGAGCAGACGATAAGCAACAGTCCCTTCCTGTGAGACAGAGAGCAGCAATCAGAGGATACCAATCAGTTGTTTCCACCCAAATCTCCAACGGTTCTCACTCACACCCTGGCCACTGAGCTTCTTGGACATAAATTTGCCCTCAATTTTATTACACTTGCCTGGGAATCAGGAGGCCTAGGGACCTGACTTCTCATCCATCTATGCTGAGATTTAGATTCCATAGTGTTTGTTCCCTTGCTCATCTGGAAACCTGCTTACCTCCATAGCAGCCTCATCCTCAGACTAAAGAAACTCCAGGGCAGTTCTACCGTAAACTTGCAAGTGTGTTCTCACCTCTGTGCAGAGATTGCCTTCATGGTGCCATCTTTTCAGAACCATTTCCAAAATATCAGCAGCCCAGAGTAGATCCCAGCTCTGCCACATCTAACCAAGTGTCTTTGGGAAAATCACATAACCTGCCTGGGCCTGCCTCTTCATCTACTAAACCAAGGGGGTTGGACTAGATGGGGTAAGATCTTTTTCAGATGTAGCAGTCTATGTCTATGATTCCCACGGAGATAAAACCAAAGATACAGCACTTAAATTTGGCCATGTAAGGCAATGTATATACTGGCCAAGCCTACCTTTGGAGAGGTCCTATTGACTAGCCTTGGTGGGCAGGTCTACAAGAGGTGCTATAGCAATATAAAGGTTTCCAGATGCACATACCTTTCCCGCATCCACCAGTTCTGCAATTTCGTCTAGACATGTACCACTGGCCATGAAAAAGGCCCAGCGATAATGGACTCCTTGCCAGAAATGCTAAAAAGAAGAAAACAAAATATGTCAAATATGAAAAAGGATAAAGGCTGACTAGATACAGATTTAGGGAAAAGCATTGTCTGTATGACTAAGACAGACAAACTGATTTCCCTTTTCACGCTGACACAGTGAGTTGTATGCCCAGCACCTTAGCACAATGACTGAGAGTAGATGCTCCATAAGTGATTTAATAAATAAATAAATGAACACACACATATCCATGTCAACTCAGGCTGCTTCTCCAAGCTGTGACTGACAAGAAGGCAAGCACAGGAAAGCTTTCCTTAAAATGATAGTCTGAATAGTCTTATATGCTGGATTTCTTCCCTAGGTGGAATCAGGGCTGAGATCTCTAAGCTTTCCCTACTAAGGTTTGAATAAAACCCAGAGGCACCAGAAAAGAGATCTTTACCAAATCTAAGAATGCTTTGGGGGAAATAAGCATCAAAATATTACCTTAGACAAAGAACCCAATCACAAAATTTTTTTTCAGCCTCTGACAGGAATAGGCAGCTTTAAAGGCAAAACAAACTGTAAAGTTCCTCATGTATCACGGCTGGATCTTTCTCTACAGTTACAGCAAATACCAAGCCATCCAATCTGGGTATGGAACAAAACTTCTCCAAAGGAAGATGAGAAAAACTCATACACCGAGAGGGTTCCTGACCACTCTGCTGCTATACCACTTGCAATTGCTATTCTTTATGTCAAGGTAAGGTGGGCCACTATCGAAACAACAAATGAGCTGAGGTTCTCCATGACACCTCAATGACCTGCCCAACCAACTTCACCAGATGGGAGTTACCCGAGGTACTACGGGGCCAGCCAGTACCACAGGGCTACCCTCCCCACACCTACCCACAGCAGCTAGGTGAGCTTAGGCTTCTTTTCCACTGAGCTCACCCTCAGCCTCACAATCCCTCAGCATGAGGCTGGCAAGCGTAATGGAAAACCCTTGCCACCTTAGCTCAGGCGCTCACTAGTTACGTTATTTCGGTCAAGTTATCTTTTTCAGCCCATTTTCTGGCCTGTAGAATGGTGTTACTGCCACCTAGCTTACAGGGTTGTTGGAAGGATTAAAGGAGAATGTATATAAAATACCTGATGCATAAAATGTGTTCAGTAAATATCTGTCCAGTGCTGAAAGTAAAGCTTATAGAAGAAAGACTGGGATGATACCAAATCAGAGTTTAAGAATGCAGAAAGAAAGAAGAAACTAAGCTGTTGCCTAGGCAAAGATCATCACTAATCCAGAAAAACTGAGTTAAAGGAGTCACCATAAATAATTACCACAGGACAATAGATGTAAACAGTCTAGCTTATTCTAGAATAGGTGTGATGAGATATTGACTCCCCTCGGCCCTCAGAACCTTGGTTGGCAGAAGTCTCCAGATAGAGCAACCTAAATGTGCTGTTCAAATCCTACCATTTTCTACGTGTGTAATAACATGAAAGGTTAGGATGCACTGATCTAGGCAACTAACTTAAAAAAAAAAAGAATAAAAGCTGTTTGAAGGCTTGTGTGGCTAGATACCAGAAGCACTGAGAATGTCCCAAGCTTACTGTGGACCCAGTTAATGACAGTCAGAGAAGACCTGTTCAAATACTTCTCCCTAAGGTCTGGTCTCATAGACTACAATTAAAACATTCTGGTGATTGTTTAGGGTATTACAGAATGGTCACTACTGCCACATCTGTAATTCTTTATAGCATGTTGCTCTGCAAAGTGACACTCTTGGTCTGCAATAGCAGAATTTTTATATTCTGCTCCAAGGGGTCTGTGTATTTTTTCCCCAGACCATTATAGGAGAGAAAGTAAACCAAAGCAGGCACGAGAGTTGGAAGCATGACAATGAGGCTTTAACTGTGCATGCCCTCAGAAAGACATCAGAAACTACTTAAAAGGTTTTCACATGAGATTTCTACTATCATCTTTCAAGTAAGGGGAAAAGAGAAAATGAAGAGAGCTCTGGACTCTTTCCCTCTCAGAGGACAACTCTGAAGGTTAACTTGTAAGAGGTCTCACTGAAATACAAATTGTGAGATCTTATAGAAAACTTAAACTTATATTTTAAAGCACTGGAATGTCTGGGTTTTGTGAAGAGAGAAAGAAGAGACAAAGGACAGCTAAGATCCCTTTCTCCACCACAGGGTACCCTGAAATAAACCTGTAGCCGGCTGGCAGTGGGAGTGAAGGAGGATCAGAGACCATTGTAAAGACTGACAAGGGTGTTTTTATTTGATTCTACTGTTTCTGGCTGCCGACTGAATCAAATGCAAATAAAGAGCACCAGAGAGCAGGGCTTGCTTTGTTCGTCTCTATGACCCATACATATTTCGTAAGAATTCAGTTGTGGTCTCCTCCGTTATAGCTCTTCATTACTACTTCTATGTATTTAGCTGGTACACAGAATTCAAGAGACCAAAGTCCTAAATTTCACGCCCTAAAAGGTCCCAAATTAATTTCTAGAATAAAGATGCTAAAGATAATTACCAAGTCAGTCATCTCACAAACATGGGTCAGTGTTGGATGGATCAACACAATGACTCACAACCTTTTTAACCACTGAGGAACTTTCTACTGCCTTTTTCCTGAGTTTGAAGTACTTTGTCTAACGAAAAAAATAGAATTTATTTTTTTTACTATCATACTTCATTTCATACTAATTCAGATTTTAAATCAATATTCTGTAATTACCAACAGTTTATAACATGAAATTTTACAAGCTTCTGTCCCCACTGTGATGACAACAGGCTAGTATGTTAAGTAGAGAGCAGACTCTCAAGCTCTGCTATTAGTCCTGTAACCAGGGCTGATTTGTGCTAGTCTCCAAAGCCCACCACCTACCAGACTTGTTCGATTTAGGTGAAATGGCTCCATATGGTCCTGGTAACAGCAGCCCTGTTAACAGAGTCGGGCTGACTAACGAAGTCCCAGAAGGTCCCATGATGCCGTCAATAGCTAGAGTTTCTAACTCACATGGGATATGCAGTGTTAGGACAAGTTGATACAATTCCAGCAAAGGCTTGATGGCTCTACTAGCCTTATGTGGCCTCACTGAGGTAAGAGTACAATTTCCTTCAGGTTTTTGAAATTCAAAAAAAATGCCCACAGAACTCTGAAGGTCTAAAAGCCCCAGTCAAGAAGGAGGCAGATGGTGTATCAGATGCAATCAAGAGAGGCAATAATAGGTAATAATAAGAGCTAAGATTTAATAAGAGCTTTTTATGTACTAGGCATTGTGCCAAGTTCTTCACGTGGATTATCTCATTTAAACTTACAACAGTGTAGTAAGGTAGATATATTATCAGCCTCATTTACAGGTGAAGACTTTGGGGCTTAGAGATGTTCAGTAAATTGCACAGGGTCACACAGCTACTAAGTAGAGGTCACAATTTTAACCCTGTCAGTGTGACTCCAGAGTCCATGCTTGCAGCCACTGTGCTGTGCTGCCACCAAGTGAAGAGAAACCGGTAAGTGTCAAACCAATTTCTAGCCGCATGAGGCGCCTGCTTGCTCCCACCAACTGAGACCCTTCTTCCTACCTTTAATGTCTTAGAACCCACGGTGACTCCCGTCTGCAACATGCCGTCTGCTATGCCCAATTGGTCCATGTTCAGGAGGAAAGGAGTCACCAAAGTCACATAGGTGGCTCCTGACCATTTCTTGAGATAATTTAGAGCCCATGTTTCAGTGGATCCACCAACATTATCGAGGATAAAATCAAACCTGGAAAGGAAGAATCAAATAAAAACACTCTTGTCAGTTTTTACAATGGGTTCTGATTCTCCTTCACTCCCACTGCCGGCCAGCTACAGGGTTTATTTCGGACAACTCATAAACCATGCTGCACTTCACCATCCAGCAGAGGGGTGGCTGCTTTGACAGAGGAGAAAAAACATATCCATTCACTGGATCTATGGCTTTTCTCCAAGGTAAGTCAAGTATGACTAATTTTTTTTGTCATAAAATCATTTCGTTTTCTAGGCCTGGCGTGGAGGCTCATGCCCGTAATCCTAGCACTCTAGGAGGCTGAGGCAGGAGGATCGCTTGAGGTCAGGAGTTCAATACCAGCCTGAGCAAGAGGGAGACCCTGTCTCTACTAAAAATAGAAAAACTGGCTGGGTGTGGTGGCACACACCTATAGTCCCAGCTACTCAGGAGGCTGAGGCAGGAGGACCGATCACTTAAGCCCAGGAGTCTGAGTTTGCAGTGAGCTATGATGATGACATTGCACTCTAGCCAGGGCAACAGAGCGAGACTGTCTCAAAAAAATCATTGCATTTTCTAATACTTTAAGAATGACTTGAGCAAGTGGTTATGAACAGAGGGTGATTTTGACTCTCTACAATGCACAGAATAACCCCTCACAACAAAAAAATTATCCAGCCCAAAATGTCAATAGTTGGGAAAATAAGGTTGCCAAGGTTGAGAAGCCCTGACTTAAGCTTTGTCGAAAACTGCAAAGCTATCCATTCAAGTCAAAGTATTCTTTAGTGTACATGGACACTTGAAAGAAAAGTTTATACAGTTTTCACCCACAAGAATAATTTGCTTTTATTCCCTCCACAGTCAGAAATGCTTCTACAAGCATCCTCCTCACCTTCTGGAATTTTCTATTCTTTGGTTTCACATACAGCATCTGGACAATGCATAAAGAGAAATCAACAGCCTGATCTAACATGCCAAAAAAAAAAAAAAAAAAAAAAACCAGTCATCTTGTAATCCACAGGAACTGACAGATAATTCAACTCCTTAAATCCAACCTAAAACTGCTATAATCACTATATTCTACTTAAAGGGATAAAAACCCAATGAAGCTTTTAAATACTTTTGAAAACAAAGATCTATTTAGAGAATGCATGCACATAAATTAAGCAATTAAACTGATGAATTTCTCTTTAGTAAATCTTTTTTCCCTTCCAAATTCATCTGGATGAAGTCGAATATCAAAGCTTCTAAAACCAGCTTTGGCCAACTTTGTGGATCTTGAGTCTTTTATGAGACTAAACTAAAGGGCAAATAAAAATGGAACGGTATGAAATGCAGGAGAATGACCTTACTAGATGACTGCTCTTCTCATTAGAAAAGTTTCTGCTTCATTCCCAAATTTTGAATAAACAAATATGAGGATACTTTAAGAAAACTTAGAGGTAGCCTGGTATTATAGAACAGTCACTGTTTAAAAAAGAAGTCTGAAGATCCGGTCGTAGACCTAGCTGCTGTCCCATGAATGATTAGCGGCATGATCTTGAGCATGTGAAAACTCAAAAATCCTCTGCCCCTCATTTTCTCAACTTTAACATGAATGGGTCGGACTGAAGGATTTCAAAGCTGATTCTTCATATAAAACTCTAAGATTCAAATATCTAAAAAGCTGCTATTTGAAGGAAGGACAAATTTATTGTAGGTAGATTCAGAGATCAAACTCCAGGCAGGAGTTACAAAAACCAATTTTAACTAAAGCTGCCACACACACACACACACACACACACACACACACACACACACACACACACACACACAAAGTAATGGCCTGCATATGTAAGCTAGAAGTTCCCCCATTGGAAAAGTACAAGCAAAAGGAACAAGACCCCTTGCCAGAGATGCCAAGGAGGGAATTGTAGCACTAGGTTAGGGGGCTAGACTGAGTGTCCTCCAGCCTTTTTATCTGTCAAGTTCTTCTATTCTCTGGTAACAAATTCTAGACATGTATAAAACTTAAGGTAGATAGAGGGGAATGGGTAGGCCTTGGCCTCAGTCTCTTGCAGCTATTCCTAGACGCAGCAGAAGATATGAATGAGATCAACCTAAACCACCACTACTTAGAAGTCAGATTTCAGAGAACTGTCATGGCCTCACTTTCAAGGGGCCCAGAGAGGCTTAGACCCTGACACACAGGCAGAGGGGTAGCTGACAAGATCCCTGTAAGGGACAGTTACTTCTCAAATATGCCAAGCATGTTCCTGACATAGGAGCTTTACATTAGCTGTTATCTCCATCTGGAACAACTGTTTTCCTAGATTCCCTCCATAATTAATTAAACAAGTATTACTGAGTGCCCACTACTTGCTACTAAACTGTTTCAGGTAGAGGGATACAGCAGGGAACAACATACATACATACACACATACACACACACACACACACACACACACACACACACACACTCCCATTCATATGGCTTACTCACTGGAGCCTCTGCTCAAATGCTGCTTCCTCCAAGAGGGCTTCTGTAACCACCCTGTCTGTAACAGCCTCCTGCCCAATCTATCCCTTTCCGCTGCATCAGTCCTCTTCAGAGCACTTACCACTAAAACCTGTCAAACAAGCTCATGGAAGTGGGCATTTGTCTTGTTCACCACTCTAGCTGGTGTTTAGAACCCTGCCTGGCAAGAGCAGATGCTCCAGAAACAGCTGAAGGAACAATGGTTGGCTGGCTGCTGCTGGGCGCACCGCCACACTACTGCTGGGTGTGGGTGGTGCTGGCTGGGAAAGGCTGGGTAGTGTCCGACAGGGGCTCCCATCTTTTCATTTTTTTTTAACCCATGAAAATACACTTCAACTCAACTGGCTTCTGAAAACTAATTTTAAAAAAAGGAAAAACTTTTGAAATAGAAATAGTAAAACATCTTTGCAAACACTCCTCAGTTGTACTCACAGCTTCAGCTTTGTCTTGGCTGGATGAAGATCAGATTAACAAGCCTGAGCCACAGTCAGAATCAACAGGGCCTAAGAGAATTCCTGAATCTGTTCCTGTTTGGTACATCAGGCCAAACCACAGCCTGGCATTCAGACACACTGAGAATATCCACAGTGCTCCCGTTACCAATATTTATACTCACGTTGTTTCTCTTAAGCCCTTACTAAGCTAAAACACTGAAACCATGTTTAGTGCTAATCACGTATTTTCATGGACACTCTATATTCTTCCTGTGGTGCCAAGATGCCACAGAAGGGAACACGCTTCCAATTTTGTCTTCAGACTTCTTACAAACCAGCAATAAAAGTTAACTTAAAAATTAGCAAAAGACCATGGAAGCAAAATAACTTCCTCAGTACAAACCACATTATGTTACTGTGTTATATTAACATCTGGCATTAAAACAGAAACCAACCTAAGTAATTTCTAATGACATGGAATGTTGTCATAGATTCTTCTCACAAATTCCACCATGACCATAAGGCCACCAAACCATCTCAGACCTGCATTATCAACTGTCCTTGCTCCCACCTTCCCCATGTGAACACTGTTCTAATACATACGGTTTTAAGGATTTCAACTGCTCTTCCACATCTCCGGCTTTGTAATCAATTACATCGTCTGCCCCAAGCTTCCTTACAAGTTCACTGGCATCTTGAGAGCAAACTGCTGTCACATGAGCATCCCACGCTTTCATTATCTGCCAAAAAAAAAGGGGGGAGGGTTGGGAAACTTGCTTTTTTTTAAAAAAAAAATAGCAGCATGTGTACAGATATCAGACTAACCTCTAGAGAACTTTAAGCACCTCATCTTAACAAGAACTATAGGAAGCCATCTATCAGAGACTAGTAAAAATGATTAAATTTTTGGTTGCTAAGAAAATCGTGAGAAATAGATCTCATTTCCCCTAGACCAGACAGCAGTCACCTTGTTGTCATGCAATTATAACCAATCCACTTGGAGAAGGGCTCAGTGCCTCACCAGTATCAGAAAAGCCTCAAATTTAGCAGTTTCACAGATGGCAAAGGTAAATGTTCCCCTCTCCCCAAAATCACATGTCCTCAGAAAATGACTATTTCAAATGTGTCCAGAACATAAAAATGTAACATCTCTTCATTTGCATCTCTAGTAAGTGTTAACACTATTTTAAGTCAAACAGTGTATCAAAGTAACCAGTAAGTACTAGATATTAATAATATATGAAAAGGTACTCTTATAAAGAGGAAGAAAACATGGTCATTTTATTTTTAAAACATGGATCAGTTCCTCTCCCTTCAAGTAAGAAGACCTAAATAAATGATCCCAAGTTTTAAAATGCAGATGTCTTACATTTTAAAATTATAAGAAATAACTGGATTTAAATAAAGAGGAGAACTAAATTCTAATGTTATTCAGGATTAAGTATCCAGAAAGCATTCTACTCCAAAACTGCTATAATTCCTTCCTATAATACCAATTTCATAGAATTAAAAGGAGACTATTTTCAGCCTAATTTACGAATAGTTACTTGAAGCACACTAAGAAATTTTTGTACTGATACTTATAAGGCATAACAGATCAGCGGTTTTCTCAGTCCAGTCCTGAGTAGCGATTTCCTGAACTTCCTTAACGTAAGTTCATAAGGGATTTGTGTGTGTTTTGTTCACTGTTGAATACCCACTTCATGGCACACAAAGGTGCTAAATAAATTTCTGTTAAATACAAAAAATAAAGGGTTTTAAACTCATTCATAATCTTACCTAGTTTCTCACTTTAAAAAAGCAATACTGACCAAGAATTTATACAACTGGAAATCTGAGGGGAATTAAAACATTTAGGAGTGATATCATATATAATTTATTGTTTATGGGCTGCAGAGATACTTCAATATAATGACATGTTGCTTTTCACAGCAAGTCCCAAATCAAATATGTGATGAATATAATCCAAGATGAATAGCTCATTGTGACCATCCTTTCTACAATATCTATATAAAAAAGAAACTGTTGAGGAAAAGGAAATTATGTTCCAAGCACTTACATTTAATACATGTTGAAAGGTTTTTTGGTTTTTGGTTGTTTTTTTTTTTTTCCTATTCAGAACTAGCTTGTATCTTTCAACATTACTAGAAGGTTTTAAAAGCAAGCCTTATTTTTAAAGACATTTTTATGTGATATAAAGCACAATTATAATAAACACCTATAAGGCAGATGCCACCCAGATAAAGAAACAGAAAATCAGCAGCCACTCTAAAAGCTGTGCCCCCATAACACAAGCCCCTTCCTCCCCCATAAGTCATTGTGACCCTGATTTTTATAGTAATCATCTGCTTGCATTTTTAAAAAGTTTTATCACCCAAATATGCATTCCCTAGACACTATAATTTAGTCCTGTGCATTTTGAAAATGTGATATCTTTTAGGTCTCTTTTAAATTATAGGCTCTTCTTCTATCTCTTTGCTTATAATTTATCTGTGGAAGAATCCAGGCCATTTGACCTGCAGTTTCCCACTGGCTGGAGTTTCTGATTGCATATTCAGGGGGCTGTTCCACATATTGCTCTGTCCTCTGTATTTTCTGCAACTTGGCCGATGGATCTAGAGACTGGATCAGATTCACTTTCAATCCCTTTAGCAAAACTATGGATAATGTGTGGCAGACTAGAGGAGGCACATCATGTCTGATTGTTGCTCTTTGCATGATCTTAGCATCTGTAAGTGCTTAATACCTATATCTGTTTATTCGTAGTTGCAAAATAGTGATGTTCTAATTATATTTTTTTTCATTTGGTAGTTGGAATACTTTTAGAAACACCTCCCCTCACATATAATACTATTTATAATAGTATAACTGGTTTATTCAGTTACACAGTTCACATGGGAAAGGCAGGACAAATATTTGTTTCCCTTTATCAGTTTACAAGAAAATAAAATTAGTTTCCTATTATCTTCCATAAGTGATCACTTTTTAAAAATATAGCATCATGAACTCATGGATTTAAATATATTTAAAGGGCTTTAATCTATTGTAATTATCATTATTAGAAGCTTAAATTATCACATCTTTGGGAGTGTCTTCAAGTCGGCTACTGAATCTTTTGACATGACCTGATTAGTCTTTGACAGCGTCCTTGCTGTTTGATATACTCCAGGTTTATTCTTGTATATTTTGTGCTCCAGATATGAAATCTGCTATTTCTCCAAGAAGCCCCGCATTCTTTCAGCGAGCAATTACACTTTAAGAGATAGCTTTATATACACGCTTACACAAAATACCTCTTCGAGTTCATATTGATACTTCCAATTCAAATTTCAGATTACAAAGCTTTTATTTAACCTTTCTGCTATATCTCCTTTCTTCCACACCTAGGATCCTGGTTCTCAAAGACATGGAATGACAGAATTAAAATGACATAAATACCCATTTGTTCTATTATATATTACACATATAACTGTCTCTGAATAAGAATACTCATATCACTACCAGCATGATTAATGAAAGCATTAAAATAATTTTAACATGTGCTTTCCCTATTTTCCCTCTCCTTTTAAAAAAATAGTTGCACTATATTCACCTTGTCAGAGCATATGGCTGTTACCACACTATACTGTCTCCTTTTAAGCTCTCCCTTAGTTTTGTTCTACAGGTAACTACATTTAACATTCACCACCAGTGCTTAAAATGTCTCTTAGTCATTTTAGTTGACAGCAGCTCATTCTCTGGTAGATTCCTTAGAAAGGGATCAAAAGAACAATACTCCCCAAGTTCCTGCATGTTGATAATAGTCTGTATGTGCCTTTTATACCTGGAACACCAGTTTTGTTGTACCAAAAATTCTTGGCACACCATTCCTTGAGTATCTTAAATATGTTACTCCATTTTTTTTCTCACGAAGTGTTACTGTCAAGTCTGATGACAACTTAATTTTATTTCTCTTATAAGCCACATACTCATTTTACTAGACACTCAGAGGATGTTTTTTTCTTTCTCTTTAAATGCCAGTAATTTTACTATTAATACAATTAATTTTCCCTGGCATTTTTACTAGTAAATTTTCCTTGGTGTTGCTCACTCTGGATCTATGTTCTTAGAGACAGTTACTCAATATGTAGTTTCAAATCATTCTATTTTCAGGAAAGTAGGAGAGTGTCTTCAATTATTGTTTTAATATCTGTTCTATTCTCTTGCTTTGATTTCCCTCTTCAGGGACTACTATTACCTATATATTAATCTTCTTTGTCTGTCTTCAATATTTGACACTTTCTTTTGAATCTGTTTTTATATTCTTTTGTAATTAAAAATCTTTCCTGTATTCTATTTCTATTAAGGCAGTATTATGTGTTGTGTTTATTTGCTATTGAGGTCCTTCTAATTTAGTCTTCATTACTAAATGATTTTTTTCATTTATTTTTCCTTTTTTTCTGAGTTTTTCCAATTCTGATTTATTCTTTCATGTCTTATATTTTTAATGTCTTTTAACTTGTTTTGATAGAGGTTACATTCTGATCTGTTTTGTGTGGTCATGTTTTCTGACATATTTTCATTACAGACATGTTATTCTACACCTTATTCTCATTTTCCTTATAATAGCTTTGTATAGGATTTAAGCTTGGTAGTTTTTCTATTACTCATTTTTTAATTTTACTGAAGTATTTTTCCTGGGAAATATAACACTAAGTACATAGAATATAAATGAACAGCTTAACAAATTATTACAAAGTAAATATTGTAACCATTACTCAAGATTAAGACTAGAATACCACCTGTGCCCCTAAACCTCACAATCAAAACCTTTTCACTCCCTTAAAAGTAATAGCCACTATCAGGACTTTTACAGTAAACCTTTTCACGTTTTTATTAAAAAAAATTTTTTTTTAAAGTCAGGATCTCACTCTGTTGTCCAGGATGGAGTGCAGTGAGACAATCATAGTGCATTGTAACCTCTAACTCCTGGGCTCAAATGATCCTCCCACCTCAGCCTCCTCAGTAGCTGGGACTACAGATGCCTGCCACCACTCCCACCTAATTTTTTTTCTTTTTTCTTTCCTTTTTTTTTTTTTTTTTGTAGAGACATGGTGTCACTATGTTATCCAGGCTGGTCTTGAACTCCTGGGCTCAAGCAATCCTCTTACCTCGGCCTCCCAAAGTGCTGGGATTACAGGCATGAGCTACTGCACCCAACCCTTCCTCTCTTCCTTCCTTTCTTTCTTTCTTTATATTTTAGGAGTTTTACTTTCTAAGTAGGCATCCTTAAACACTATTGTTTAGTTTCACCTGTTCTTGGACATCATTAAATGGAATCATATGTACATCACTTCTTTCACTCAACATTCTGTTTCTGAGATTCATCCACTTCATCGTGAGGAATTATAGGTCTTTTTTCACGACTGATAATATTCCAGTGTAAGAATATACCACAATTTACTTATTCATTTTACTATTAATGGCCATTTGGGTATTTCCAGTTGGAGGATTTTCAATAGAACAGCCCTGCTCTGAAATTCTGGCACCTATCTTCTGGTGAACATGCTTGAATATCTATATATAGGGTATAATTCTAAGACTGGAATTGTAGAGATGTCATAGGACAATTTATATTCGGATTTAGTAGATGCCAAATGGTTTTCCTAAGTGGCTGGATCAACTTAAACTGTAGCCAATAGGGTATGATATTTCTCTTTTCCTCTCTCCATCTTTTTTCCATTTAATTGAATGAATTTAACTCGTTCAACCCACATTTACCAACAAGAGTCTCTGGATTGGGTCCTGAGTATCTAGCAGTGAATTAAAAAGTCAAAGTGTGCACCCCCTAGGAGTCCTCTCCCTACTCTCCCAGTTCAGTCAGCCCCCAGCACCATCTGGGTCCTCAAAAGGTCTAAGGCAGAGCCTGGGGTGGTCCACAGCACCCAAACCCTCCCTCATGGAAAGCAATGTGGCAGAGCCTCTGAGGGTGCTCACTGGCCCCTAAGTTGGGAAAAGGCCCTCTCTCTGCCATATTGAGAGAAGCTTAACCAAGCCCCTTCCCCCAGGAGCCAGCAGGTTAAATGTCTGACCACAATAGGAACAGCCACTGGGCCCCATCCAGTTCCTGGAGGCTTGGGGCACTGTTTTATTTTGAGGTAAAATTCATATAACAGATCATTCACCATTTTAACAATTTTTAAGCATATAATTCAGTGGCTTTCAGTATATTCACAATGTTGTACAACCATTACCACTAATTCCAGAATATTTTCTCCACCCCAAAATAAACCTCATATCCATTGAACAGTCATTCCCCATTCCCACCCCCTGCCACCTCCTGCCCCTGACAACCACTAATCTGCTTTCTGTCACTATGGATTTGCCTACTCTGGACATATGATATAAATGGAATTACACAATATGTCACCTTTTGGGTCTGGATTCTTTCACTTAGCATAATGTTTTGAAGGTTTATCCATGTTGTATTATGCATCAAAATTTCATTCTCTTTATGGCTGAATAATATTCCACACACATTGTTTATCCATTCATCAGTTGATATTAGGATAATTTCCATTTTTTCATTATTATGAATAATACTGCTATGAACATTCATGTACAAATTTATGGTTGAATGTATGTTTTCATTTCTCTCAGGTATGTACCTAGGGATGGAATTGCTGGGTCATACAGTAATTCTATGTTTAACATTGAGGAACCAACAAACTATCTTCCAGAGCAACTATACCCTAGGAATGCATGAAAGTTCCAATTTCTTTGCCAATATTTGTTATTTTTTGTGCATTTATTTTTTATATAGCCATCCTAGTAGGTGTAACATGGTATCCCATTATGGTTTTGATTTGCATTTCCCTAATAACTAAAGATGTTGAGCATCTTTCCATGAACTTATTGGCCACTTATATGTACATTCTTTGAAGAAATGTGTATTCAACTTCTTTGTTAATTTTAATTAGGTGGTTTGTCTTTTTGTTGTTGAGTTGTAAGAGTTATGTATATATTATGAACACTAGACCCTTATCAGGTAGATGATTTGCAAATATTTTCTCCCATTCATGGGTTGCATTTTCATTTTCTTGATAATGCCATTTAATATATCAAAGTTTTTAATTTTGATGAAGTACAATTTATTTTTTCTTCTGTTGCTTGCGCTTTGGGTGTCATATCTAAGATTCTGTTGCCAAATCTAAGATCATGAAGATTTATTCCTGTTTTCTTTTAAGACTTTTATGGTTTTAGCTCTTATATTTAGGTCTTTGATCCATTTTGAGGGTTGTCTTTGTATATGATATGAGGTAGGAGTCCAGCTTCATTCTTATGCCTGTGGCTATTTAGTTGTCCTAGCAGCATTTGTTGAAAAGACTATTATTTTCCCCATTTTGCCATTCTTATTGGAATCAGTTGACTATAGATGTATGGGTTTATTTCTGGATGTTCAATTTTGTTCCATTGATCTGTATGTTATTCTTATGCCAGTACCACATTATTTTGAATACTGTAGTTTGTAGTAAGTTTGAAATTCAGAAGTGTGAGTCTTCCAATTCTGTTCTTTTTTAAGACTGTTTGGCAAATTTGGGTCCCTTGCCATTCCATATCCATTTTAGAATAAGGTTGTCCATTTATGCAAAAAATGGCAGCTGGCATTTTGACAGGGTTTGCATCTGTAGATCAGTTTGGGGGAATATTGCCATCTTGACAGTATTTTGGCTACTGAACTTCTCTATATATTTTGCAATCAGCTTATCAATTTCTACAAAAAAGCCTACAGAAATTGTGACTAAAAACTAGTGTGGTTTTGGCATTGGCTATTTCCTACCAAATTGCAAACTTCCATCTACCTGCACTGTCCATGGTCTTTTGCCTAAAAGCGTTCCTCTGTTTGTCATACAAGACATCCACATACCCACTCATATATTAAACCAATGAAAAGGTTAACACATCCTCATAAATTAGAAGAGTAAAAGGAAATTACAGTGCATTTACCAGGCAGATGTACCTTTCTCACAGCTTTAAAGGAAAAATAATTTATAACATGTGAATTTATAAATTCATGCAAACAAAATCTCCCTATTCACAATAGTAAAAAATGTTTTACCTGTATAGCAAAAGTGCCAACTCCACCTGAAGCACCCAAGATTAAAGCACTACAATACAAAAGAAACCAAAATTAATGAGAATCTTAAGCAGATATAACTGAGTAAATAAGATGGTTTCAGCATGTAACTGGCCCAGTGATAAACAATCCCAAAAGTAAATAAAGTTATTCAGCTTTCCAAGATTATATTATGCAAGGATTTTTATTTTAGGTTCACCAAGAAGCTGTAAGTGCTTAAAGTCAGGCATTCTATGAACTCTTTACCATGAATACCGAATACCAAAAATACCAATAACTTGTATTTTTTTTAAGTAGCTCACATGGTACTTTGTAACATATGTCTTACAATTTTTCCAGGCTAAAATTACCATAGCTACCTCTATAAAACTGGGGCCCTTTTTAGTGTGTTAGACTTTTGCTCTCTAAGAAAAATCACATTCCTGACCACACTCCTGCCAAAGCAGAATAAATGTCCTATGTCCAGACGTGTTTTGTCAAGCTCATTAACTTTCACAAATGGAAATCAATCTCATCTTCAATTTGAGTTCCTGTTAAAGCAGATGAATGTGTTCTATTAGCACAACCATCCTTGTGCTCCAAGTTCTTCACATTTACTATGTTTACTCACTGCAGCCCTCCTGCCACTTGAGACCAAGGGTTCTGAGCCATAAGTTTATGGATGAGTTCAGGGAGGAGCTGGGGTTGAGGGGGTAGGGTAATGGATTATGAACCCTCGGAAATTGTGAATTTCCTAAAATACCATGCAAAATTTGGTGTGATTATGGATATATGCATTGGCAAGGAGAGAGATTTAGACCTATCATCTATTTCCCAAAGAAGTATGTGCTCCAAAATAGAATCATTGGTCAAGAATCGCTGCTTTACATAGTCTTACATTTTTTTTTTTTTTTTTTATGAGACAGGGTCTCATTATATTGCCCAGGCTGATCACAAACTCCTGGCCTCAAGTGATCCTCCCACCTCAGCCTCTCAAGTAGCTGGGACTACAGGTGCCAGCCACCATGCCTGGCTTGCGTTTTATTCTTGAATTAAGGTAGAGCTTCAGAGAATTGCCTACTTAGATTTCAGGTCTCCAGAAAATTGTTTGTACTGAACTACACTTGGTGTAACACTACCAATCAAGTGCTGAGGGAAATTATAAAAAGTGATTGTTTGATATTTGATACTTCCTTAGCTAAGGAGATACTACTAAAAGAATTCTTCATGAGAACTCCCTTTATAAGTGCCCACCGAAAATATTTTTTCTCAAGACTAAGTGGTGGGAGTATCTGTGTTATTTATCCATCACTATAAATTGCATAACTGCTAGACATAGGTAGCTTTTGCCTTGACTGCCAGAAAGAGCAGAGGATTTTGCCACCTATCTCTAGCAAGTACACCAGATCTTGGAACATGCATTCTGTCTATAACCTTAACTCTAGTTTCTTTTCAATTTTTTTTCCTCTCTTACCCAAATCACAGAAGGCTGGTTGTCGCCCTTTATATCTTAAAAGTTCACAATTGCTGAACCAGCTGTTCCCTTTGAAATTAATACCATTCAATGTAATTAATACAAGTCTCCTTATAAATTATGTTCCTTCTAGAAGAGTTACTTTTAATTTCAAAGAATTACAAATTGCGAAGAAGAGACTGTTGGGCCTCAGAAAACAATACCCCAAAGTATGGCACTTTGAGATGCTGAGTACCTTGAACCAAAGATGTAGCCTCAGAACCAAAGTCTCTCTGACCACCTCCCACCCTGGTCTCTTACCGCCTGGTCTCTGCCTCTCCCAAAGCACAGGGAGGGGCTTCCTCTGAAGTTCCCTTATAAGACCAAGAGAAGTTCCTCCAGAAAGAATGTAATCATCTTGGGCCTTTTCCCTATAATCTCATCAAAGAGTAACTCAAAGGAAAGAAGACTAGAGCAGATGCCACACCCAGAGCCCAGATGAACTGTGTCCCAGGCTACTGTCTATTCCTTGGGCCCATTCATCTCCCCTAAAAATCATTTACTCTTCCTTTAAAATTGCCTCTCCCACTTCCTTCTCCCCTACGAAGAAGGTAGTTAAGCTTTAAACATCTGGTCCTTTGAGTTTCATACTTGGAGTGACTTCTGTGTACTTGCATGTTAATACCTGCACGGGGCTCCACTACTGACAATGATAGCAACCCCAACTCCTCCAGCAGTGGGACTGCCACATGCCCATACATGTGGCTCAGGAACCTGACAACCAGTCTTCCCAGGACCCACTCCCACCATCACTGGCACTCGCCACCCAGGGACCTAGGGAACAGCCCACTCAGGGTCCATGACCACCACCACAGCTGGTGGCTGCATGCACTGACCAAGGGCCTGACAACTGGTCTACCCAGAGCCTGCTGCCCAGTCCAGCAGCAGGGCCCACTGCATGCCCACTATCCAGAGGCCTGAAAACTGACTTTCCTGATGTCCCCAAACCAAGCAAAACTGCCTCACAACCTCCATAAACAACTACAGCATAAGCCACTAAAGAACTTGCAGACCCTGCTGATGTTGATTACAGCCAAAAAAAAAAATCACAGACTATTCTAATGTGCCTACCCAGAACCAAAGCTAAAGCACCCTATTCAACCAACACTACAGATAAACATTTACAGGAAAAAGTCTTTTCCTACTAAAGATGCTTCATGAAATTGGGAGAAGTGACTGTTAAACCAGATGTGCAGATATAAACATAAGGACACAGAAACATGAAAAAGTAAGAAAACATGACACTTCCAAAAGAATACAATAATTCTCTAACAACAAACCCCAAAGAAAGGGAAATCTATAAAATGCCTGAAAGGGAATTTGAAATAATGATCTTAAGGAAACTCAGCAAGATACGGGGGAACACAAATAGACAATAAAAAGAAGTCAGAAAAAAGAATCAGAAAAACAACTCGTAATCTGAAGGAGAAATTCAATAAAGAGATAGATACCATAAAATAGAACAATACAGAAATCTTGGAACTGAGGAATTCAATGACTGAAATAAAAAAATACAATCAAGACTTCAACAATAGAATGGATCAAGCAGAAGAAACAATTTCTGAACTCTAAGACAGTCTTTTGAAATAACTCAGTCAGACCCCCCCCCCCAAAAAAAAATCAATAAAGAAGAAAACAGAATGAAAAAAGCCTACATGACATATGGGACACTACTAAGCAAACAAACATTTGCATTTTGGTAAATCTAGAAGGAGCAAAAATGGAGAAAGGCATAGAAAACCTATTTAATGAAATAGCTGAAAATTTCTCAAGTCTTGGGAGACATATAGACATCCAGATACAGGAAGCCCAGAGATCTCCAAATAGATTCAACACCAAAAGGTCCTCTCTGAGGCACTTTAGGCAACGCTAAAGTGTCAAAAGTCAAAGACAGGCCGGGCGCGGTGGCTCACGCCTGTAATCCTACCACTCTGGGAGGCCGAGGCGGGCGGATTGCTCAAGGTCAGGAGTTCGAGATCAGCCTGAGCACGAGCGAGACCCCATCTCTACTAAAAATAGAAAGAAATTATCTGGACAACTAAAAAAATATATATAGAAAAAATTAGCTGGGCATGGTGGCTCATGCCTGTAGTCCCAGCTACTTGGGAGGCTGAGGCAGAAGGATCGCTTGAGCCCAGGAGTTTGAGGTTGCTGTGAGCTAGGCTGACGCCACGGCACTCTAGCCAGGGCAACAGAGCCAGACTCTGTCTCAAAAAAAAAAAAAAAGTCAAAGACAAAGAAAATTCTAAGAACAGCAAGAGAAAATCATCAAGTCCCATATAAGGGAATCCCCATCAGATTTCTCAACAGAAACCTTACATGCCAGGAGAGAAAGAGATTATATATTCAAAATGCTGAGAGAAGAAACTTTCAACCAAGAATATTATAACTAGTAAAGCTAACCTTCAGAAATAAAGAGAAAAAGTCCTGCTCAGACAAGCAAAAAGTGAGGGAATTCATCACTATTAGATCAGACCTACAAGAAATGCATAAGAGAGTCCTACACTTGGAAACAAAAGGACAATATCTATCATCGTAGAAACACACACACACAAGTATAAAACTCACTGGTAGAGCAGATACATAAATGAGAATGAGAGAGGAATGAAACATTATCACTACAGAAAACCACCATACCACATGATAAACAGTAAGAGAGGAAGAAAGGATCAAAGGATACACAAAACAATCAAAAAAGAATTAACAAAATGGCAGAGTAAGTCCTCATCTATAAATAACAACCTTGAGTAAATGGTCTAAATTCCCCAATTAAAAGATATAGACTGACAGAATGGATTTAAAAAAAAAGACCCAACTATATGCTGCCAATAAGAAATTCATTTCACCTGTAAAGACACAGAGATTAAAAGTGAAAGGATGGAAAATGATATTCCACACAAATGGAAACTAAAATGCAGAAGTAGCTATACTTGTATCACAAAATAGACTTAAAGTCAAAAAACAAAAAGAGAAAAAGAAGGTCATTATGTAATGATAAACGGATCAACTCAGCAAGAAGATATATCAATGTAAGTATATTTGCATTTACCACCACAGCACCCAGATATATAAAGCAAATATTATTAGAGCTAAAGAGAGAGATACACTCCAATACAATAATAACTAGGGACTAAAACACCTCACTTTCAGCCTTGGACAGATTGTTAGAAAGAAAATCAACAAAGAAATATTGGACTTAAAGCACACTATAGAACAAATGGACCTAATAGACATTTATAGAACATTTCATCCAATAGCAGAATACACATTTTTTTTTTTTTTTTTTTTTGAGACAGAGTCTCACTCTTTTGCCCGGGCTAGAGTGAGTGCCGTGGCATCAGCCTAGCTCACAGCAACCTCACACTCCTGGATTCAAGCAATCCTTCTGCCTCAGCCTCCCGAGTAGCTGGGACTACAGGCATGTGCCACCATGCCTGGCTAATTTTTTCTATATATTTTTAGTTGTCCGATTAATTTCTTTCTATTTTTAGTAGAGACGGGGTCTCGCTCTTGCTCAGGCTGGTTTCGAACTCCTGAGC